AACAGATTGATACATTTGCACACGTTCGTATTATAAAACGTGGCTCGTATCGACCATAGACGTTTCAATAAACCGTAATTGCATTAATGTAACTCGCAAATGAAAACGAAAAATTAAAATTTCTGGAAACGAAAAAATCTTATTTTTATAATCAAACATAAAAAAAATCTAGATAATAATATATTCCAATTTTTTAAATAGTAAACATGTTGGGATTTTTTCAAACCTGTGATTACGGTGGTCTCCCGACGTAAATTATTTTTGGGGTCCCGATCGCCTATTTATGCGTGCGATTATATTCCTAGAAGTTGTTTTCTTGTCACACAATGTGCGCTTTTCCACGCCAAATCAGGGGGTCCATCCCTACATATATGTATAAATTTCATTAATGCCACGTTTGATTAGGGTAAAGTGAACAGGTGATGTAATTATAAATTATTTTTCTCTTTACTCGCAAGAAAATGGCACGTAAAAAATGCTACGCGAAAGGAATGCAACTTACACAGTGAAGAATTCAAGGAATTTCCCAATATTATGATGAAGAGGGAATATTGCTCGGCGTGGATTGCAGATTAATAAAAAAAGACAACAAATCAAACAAAACAATCTTTGATAAACTGTTTCAGAACTGATTTAAATTAAACTGTAATTTCAATAAAATAGAAATACACAAATTTCTACTACTTTTATATACCTACTCTTTCTCGATATTATTGGATATGCAACAGCAGAGAAATATTTTTACGAGAACTGCGGGACCCTTATTGACTGACAACGATTCGTAATTTTTTTTTGGAGCAAGAAAGGACTGGTTTGTTGATATACGAGCATTTCTATCTTCTTCGATATGATACGAAATGCGGTTTCTGCAAGACATCGTTCCAAAACATAACAGCGAATTCGATAACAACAGACGACAAGCAAAAGGAGGGTCAAAGTGACTCGGAATTTGCCTGGCGATGGCGGAATATCCATCAGTAGCTTGAATTTTCATACACATTTTATATCATGGAATACAATAATTTTGTACGCCTAACGATAATATACAGGGTGTTCGGCCACCCCTGGGAAAATTTTTAATGGGAGATTCTAGAGGCCAAAATAAGACGAAAATCGAGAATACTAATTTGTTGATTGAGACTTCGTTTAAAAGTTATAGAAACATTTCCAGCGACACAGTATATTTTTGGTAAAGAATTTTTTTCTCGAAAGTACGTATGATTTCGGGGGTATGTGTATTCAACAAAAATGATTGTAATTGACAACCACAACCAAAAATAATTTTTCCAGAACGATTTGAAATTTGTTAATTTTGTCGAAAAATTTGTCCACCTTCCAGAATTTTTTTCTTGAAAATGCGTAGGATTTCGAGGGTATGTCTATTCACCAGAAATGATTGTAATTAACCCCCGCAATCGAAAATAATTTTTCCAGAACGATTTGAAATTTTTTTTTGGGCGAAAAATTTAGGCACTTGTTGATTTTTCTTAAAAATTCGTTTTTGATTTTTAGTTATTTTGTTTGACGCCCTACAGAAAAGTTGTCTAATACTTTTTTGTCGTTACCCATGAGCTCTACTTCAGAAAAAATTTTCATTGAAATATATTCACTATCGTAGGAGTTACGGCTATTTGAAAATTGGACCATTTTTATGGGGTTTTTTCATTTTACGGGGTTAAGGAAGAACTTTTCGAATATTCTTGGAATTTCTACATATTCTTCACTAAAATACGCGTTGTTTGCATTTTGAAACATTAAAATCCTCCAATCCGTTTAGGAGTTATGATTAGACTGCGGATGTTTATGCAGTTCTGGGAAATTTTAATCCTCAAAAAACTACAGACTGCATTTAATATGCAAAAATATAAGAAATACTTAAAGTAAGATACGAATTATTATATTTAGGGATTGAGACAGAGCTCTAGAAAGCTCTGATTTCATTAATTCTATTAATAAAAATGTGAATTTGCATAAAGATCCGTAGTCTAGTTATGATATTTTAAAGAAATTATATTTTCGATAAAGAATTTTTTTCTCGAAAGTGGGTAGGATTTCGCGGTTATGTGTATTAACCAAAAATGATTATAATTGACCCCTGCAACCGTAAATAATTTTCCCAGAACGATTTGAAATTTTTTAACAACTTTTTAACGAAGCCTCAATCAACAAATTGATATTCTTGATTTTCGTCTTATTTTGGCCTCTAAAATCTCCCATTAAAACTTTTCCCTAAGATGGCCGAACACCCTGTATACACTTTTAAGTGCGTCTTTTAAAATTTGTATCACAAAATACTGGAAAATGACGTCCTATGTTCTCATGAATGGCCACCGAAATGCAAAAACGTTTCTATTTCAAACGAAAAACAAAATGTAAGATTAACTTACAAGGTGAGAACGAAAACGATTTTAAAATAAGTTGACAGGTGTCCGATCATTATTCACGTCGATCCCTTGTTTATAGAATACATAAGTATTTGAAATTATGCGCATTGCGTGACGGAATATATCAGGCGTGAGTGGAGATCTCTTGGAGTGAGTGTGGGAATTACCGCGGCTTTCCAACGAAGGTAAACTTTGCTAGAGAAAATAGGACGCGAGCGTGAAACTATTGACACCTTTCTGAAATCATTTTTTAAGGTCAAGTATTTAGGTACATTCTCAAAAAAAAAAAAAAAAAATTAAAACGTCTTAAAATACAAATTTTTGTACAATCGTGAAAAACTCTAGGCCCGATCCGTTAAAATTTCGAACAGTTCTGACGCAATCATTTTTTCATACAAGGTCTCACGACCATGAACGAGCGAAGTACAGTTTTATTACTCTATTACGGTATTGTGATTTTATTTATTTACTATTTCGTACAATATGACCGCAACATATTGTGACGCAAGTTTATGTTTTTACGGTGGTACATAAACGGCGAGCCCCGCTGATATGAACATAACCGACATGCGCTATGAATACTGTAAAGATGGTAGGCTATACTTCTGCAAGATGTGCAAGCGTTGGCCAATGTTACGAGTCGTTCTATGTATAGAGAATGCCGTGAGCTTGAAGCCGCAAGGATGCTCAAATTAATTACGGACTTGTTTCTGATTCTGCAGCGAAGTAGCTTCTGATGCAGGTGTAATTAAATTATACATAGTTGCTACACCCATTAGAAAGTTAATAATAAAAACCTTTATTAATCGACGCTGAAACGCACTCTCTAATTATATTATTCATAGTTCCTGCCACAACTCCGTCGTTCGAATATTGATTGACCTTAAAAGTGTCTCCTTAAATTTATTCCTTCGATATAAAAGTACATTTACGTAAATAATATTCTTACTAAGAATGTGAATGTAATAAAAGTATAAAGGAAATAAATTAGTACAAAAATAGAGGAAACAAGTAATGACAAATATATTTTACTTTAAATTACAACCATTAAGGTCTTGGGTCAGGGTAGTCAAAAAATAAGATGGGCTTAACAGGATTGCAAGAAAATTACACGTGTAAATTACGTTAATTCTAAACAATTCACGACACGATAGTCGATTCGCGACCCTGCATGATACATATGATTCTAGATAACTGTACGACAGAAAATAGGGGCAGATGTTTCGGACACGAAGCACCTTTAGCAGGTGGATCACGTAGCGAGGGACATCTCAACAGATAGAAGTCGAAGCGGGGACTTCCACAACGGTTGAGCAGTCCAAATGGGAATACACCTTTTCGTTCCCCGTAACAGTGAACGTCCGAGAGTACAACTCTATTGCGAAGGAGGGATCGTTGTCAGCGAATTTTGCAATGATCTGCACGAGAACTCCGGCGCATTCAAATTTTCACCTTTGATCGGTCCACGTCGCGTACACAGTAACCACGTAGTACATTTTACACGGGATTTTACAAATAAGAACTTCGCGCAGGATAATGGAATTTTGTAAATTTCTTTTGAAATTGAAATAAATTATTACGAAAACTCAAATAAGTTAAAGTTCGTTCTATTAATGCAATATTACTAAATTAGTACGAACGCGTCGCGTATCTGTTAAAAATTTGCCTAAATTGTATCCTACGTACAAGCGTATACATATATTTGCAATTTGTGATAAAGGATCGCGCCTAGATTTAAGTTCCATTAAAAGGATAACACAGCACGGTTTGTTTAATTTAATTCGTGTATATGTGACACGATTCCCAAAACTTTTCCGATGGATTTATTTACAAAAAATAGCGTTATCATGTTTCGTTTGTTAAAGTACTCTGTTACGAATTAATTTCGTGCGTAAATCATTGTTGTTTCAAGCAAATTTTTTTCCTGTGATTTTATCTTTGTTTAGAATTCGATAAAAAGTAATTTGTAGCAACTGTGTTCCGTCGACGAACGAGAATTGTTTGCTGTTGCTGTCTATTTATAAAAAATTACGCAACAAACTGAAATTTGCGGACCGCGGTTTATAGTATCCGTCTTTCTCCAATCTTCGCTCCTTGGAAACTGCTAACTCCGTTTTCGCTCTTATATGTATAACAGTATGGAATATTGGAGTGGAACGAAGCAAGTGAACTATGAAATAAATTGAACGTTTCCTATTTATTCGACATCGAGGCGAGAAACCTCAATCTGCATCGTTCAGTAAGCAATTAATAACAGTTCACTGTTTGTATTTATTTCTACTCTATTTTCCTTATAAAATTCCATTTTACCCAATTTTGTTCGACGATTTTCCCATTTCCTAAAAGCATTTTAAAATTGATTCGATAAATGCATTTGAATATTATATTACTTAGTGAGTAAACTCAAATCGGAGCACGTACTAAAGGAGAAACGAACGTATTTCTAATAATTAATAGTTTTAATAAATCACGTAATAATGATTAAGCGAACAACGAACCGATTGTTTATTATAGAGTTCATTCATCCATTTGCCTTGCTAATTAGTTAATGATAATTATTCGTGTCCATCGATTTCTCGAATCGATTATTCTAAATCATAACAAAAATGGCTGCTACGGAGTACACATGTCAAGTAGCTTTTTGGTCTTGATAAACAAAGATTTTTGACCAAAGGACGCGTGAAACATCGTCTAGTAATCGTTTGTATAGTTCGTAGATGTTACGTGTACGTAGAATTTAAAATAGTATTGAAAAAGTGATAAAAAAAAAGCTGGCAGCTAAGACAGAGAATCAAAACAGTAACGAAAACGTCGAAGGTGGCGTTGAGGTTATGGACAACTTCGTTAAAATCGAAAAAATAGGGGAAGGGACCTATGGGGTGGTTTACAAGGCCAAAGATAAGCAGACTGGAAAGCTGGTGGCACTTAAGAAAATTCGTCTTGAGACGTACGTCGTTTATAATATTTATATATGAAAAACCCTTTTACCTGCGATGCATACCTATGCCGGATAATAAATCGTTCGTGAGCATATCCTCTATTAACTAAATAATAAGTGTACGATACCCTTAGTAAACATTTCAAGTTATAGAGATGTAATTGACAAAGCTTCAGTGCATTTAAGAATACATTAAAAACCTGTGTTTTTGATCATTTTAACAAAGCAAAGTGTAATATTTGTATTAATTTATGTCCCCCACACATAGATGTATATAAATATAAAAAATAATATAAGATTAACAGATATTTTTACTTGTTATATGCGTAAAGGTATTTTATTTTTCTTGATTTAATAATCTGTTCACCTTATAAACGTTTGAGCAATTTTCACATTTCAGGAATTATTAGAACATTTTTATCCAACAATCCTTGTCTTTCATCATACAAATAACTGTCAAGGATAATTTCAATTAAATTACCACATTGGCTAAGCTTTCGCTTACATGCATTGCTAACACATCTGCTAATTTGCACATTGGGGTCAGCTGAATCTGCAGGGGCCACGTTACACTAAATTTTCGTAGCACCACATTATTCAGCTTGTCCCATTGTGTCATGCTCGCCTGGTTTTAAATTTTATATCTTTTAATGAATTCATCATTCCTACAAATGCTATTAGTGAGATTTTCCTCTATAAATTTATTCTGCAATAGACCTACTTTACTAAATGTAGTGCATAATCCTATATTAATAACAAAGTTAATCAAATTAGCCTACCATTTGTGTTTGTTAAAATTGATTCTGTTACTTTTGTTTTTACTTTTATATGGTACAAAATCATAAGATTTATATTATCACACGTATACATGATAATAGATTTAGCCCATAAATATTTTAAGTGTAAAGAACAAGCAACACTCTATCTATGTACATATTTTCATTATGCATTTTTATTTAAAAAAATAAAATGTTTAATTTTGTGTCCTACTCTATCATCAAATACTAATAAACGTTTGTAATAAAGTAACATTAATTTGCATCAGGGAAAGTGAAGGTGTTCCATCCACTGCTATTCGAGAAATATCATTATTAAGAGAACTTGCACATCCAAATATTGTACAACTATTTGATGTGGTAGATGGTGACAAACATCTTTATCTTGTTTTCGAATTTTTACAACAAGACTTGAAAAAATTACTAGACACTGTTAAAGGAGGGTTAGATCAGGCTCTTGTGAAGGTATTGCTTTCAAAAGTAATTAAAATGGGAAGTAAATTCATATGCTATTCAAATAAATATCTCAAATTTTTACAGAGTTACCTACATCAATTATTGAAAGCAATTTCCTTCTGTCATCTCAATTGCATTTTACACAGAGATCTAAAACCTCAGAATCTATTAATAGATCACGAGGGTCATATAAAATTGGCAGATTTTGGATTAGCAAGAACATTTGGGGTTCCTGTTCGAATGTACACGCATGAAATAGTAACCCTTTGGTACAGAGCACCAGAGATACTACTAGGAACTAAATTATACTCCAATGCAGTGGACGTTTGGAGCCTTGGTTGTATATTTGCAGAGATGGTATCATAACTGATATCAATGAAATATTTTTTTTTGCATAAAGCATGAATTGTTCATATTAAAAAATCGTTTATTTAAATATAATTTTAACTTTTAAAAATAGTAAAATTATTCTCATAGGCAACAAGGAGAGCATTGTTCCCAGGTGATTCAGAAATAGATCAACTATTTAGGATATTTCGTACATTAGGTACACCTGACGAAAGCATGTGGCCAGGTGTATCACAATTAACTGATTATACATCGATGTTTCCAAGGTGGGAACCTAGATGCTTAGACGAAGTTGTGCCTTCTTTTAATTCTGATGCCAAAGATTTGCTACTGGTGAGAATCATGTTATAAATGAACATGTATTTAAATCATTTTTATTCGCATTAATTTTATTATTTTCTGTTTTAATAGAAACTCCTGACTTATGATCCTAATCAGAGGATAACAGCCAAGAAAGGATTAAGCCATCCTTATTTTACTGGAGTTACGTTAGTTCCACCACCATTACCAAAGAAAAATTAATTGATGCATTGTCTTTTAATTTACTATCATAATTATTTTTCATAACAATATAAAACTGCCCGTTAAATAATTTTAAATTTATTGTTTTATTTATCCCAGATAAAGTAGTTTTACCTGATCATCAATCTTTTGTTTATTTCGCACAATGAATTTTCATTAGGTAGTGCATCATCAAAGATTATAACCATAATATTTAAAAATGTTTTTTATATTTGTACGATGTTTTATTATAATAAATTGAAATGTATGGATTTTACCGAACAATCTTTTACTGAGTGGAAGCTCTGTTTCATTAGTTTCCTACAAGAGAGTTGATTTAATGATTTAAACATTTTAATATTTCGTAAAAAATTTCTATATTTCGGACAACTATGCCCATCGTATTACTGATCGAAAGTAAGTAAACCTATTTCGTATTTATATAAAAATATATACAATTAACATTGAATGTTAAAATTGCAAACAATGCTCTCGATATTGTTATAATATAACTACAAAATGTGTATTCTGATAATCGATATGCAGTAAATGCTATCCAGAAACATTTTGTTCCATGTGTGTAGACATGACGTACAAAATAATTAAATATTTTTACTCTGAAACTGTCTTTATAAAAAATATTTCACAAATTAGACGGAACTGATGTGTGAGAATTTACCGAATCGTTCCGAATAAAGCAAAGTTTATAATCAGGTGCAAGATCCGCCGGATTTGCTTTGGGAATTTTCGGAATTGTACATTTGCTTTAAGCGGCCATTCTACCTACTGCGCACTGCGCCGTGTTGTCTGGCTCACCAAAATCATCAGCGCATGCGCACACAACTGACACCAGTAAAGTGCCGCGTTTGAAGAAAACGGATGTTGTATGCATTCCTGTTTTGTTTTTGCAAAGAATTAATTTCAACTAACGAGTTTATGACTTACCTTAATATAATTCTGAAAAACATACATTAGAATATCACGTATACCAAGAATAGCGTAATTAATTACCCGTGGGTCCATAAATGATGACAATTTCAGACTTTCGAAGTTTCTGTCAGAGGCGAGGTCTAAATCTTCTCCTTAATAGATAGAAAACCATGCATGTCAGTGTTCTGTCTTTTTAAAAACGATTCACCATACTGCTGAAATGTGCTGCAATTCATTCTAAAATAATTAAAATAAACAGTGTTATCGTTAAAGGCATCCTCTTTCAATAAATTCACACGTAATGTTAATCCCGTCTTTTAATTCATTCTTTAATCCATCGCTTGCGTTTTACGTAACGTTTTGCACCAAAACACAATATTATGGTTAAACATGATATTTTCTTAGCTTCCATACTGTTTATAACACTAGAAAAAGTACATAATAACTCTGAGAGGTATACTAAATTTAATATAATTAAAATATTAGTCCTTCATAACTTGATATTTTGGTGTAAATCAACACTCAACGTTATACATATAACGATCTGTTAAAAACATTTTCATTATTGTACCCGGATAACACCAATTTTTAGTTAACCCTTATGTTCCTTTTAATGCGCATCATATTAATTTTACTCGAAAAAATTAGCAATAAATTCGAACGTGACTTGAATATATTTTTGGTTTTCAAAAAAAACGCTACATATATACGAGCCAATTTGTAAGATATCGTACTTAACTCGACTAAAGTTGATTTAATGAATGTATTGAACAACGAAAAATATAATTAATATTATTTGCATGCTCGCTCGTGTAGCTAAAGATTAGAAAATATTCAAATTGGCAAGAGCAAAATCTGTACAATTACAGTTGAAAAATTTGTGCATCACCATAGTACGTGTCACCTTTATTGCTTAAATATCATAAATATGAAGTATCTGGCTTTAACCCGGAAATAGGCGAGTTTAATTAAACCTTTAATACGGACTAACGAACACCATTGCGTTTACATTGTTTAAACGTTGACCGATTTTCTAGCGTTACAACATAATCCCCATAATTCACCACTTATCTACGAATATTATTAAATTTTCTTTTATTTTGCTTTAACCATTCATTTATATATTGTACTCTTTACATGAATCGGTAAATCTGTAATGTTCTTTCTTAAGTTTGACTTAGAATTGTTACCTCGAACAGTTAATTGAAGCTTTAAGATTCTTTATTCGGATAATAAATTATTATATTTTTTATATTATAAGTTACTCGTGTCCTGCTACAGCTTTTTGCATTTCTTTCGTTCTTCAGTAATATAAATTTCGCAGATAATAATTCTCAATAATTATTTTCCGTCGAAGGAAAAAATCGACAATGTCGACTACGTCCATTTTTTAACAAGTTTGCAATTGTTACATTATTGGAACGTTTAATAGCGTTATTGCAGTGGTGTAACCCAGCAGAATCGATGGAAATGGTCAAAGACGAATTATTAAAAATCGATGCAAAGAATTTTGACGTTTCACGGCACAATTACAATCCTGTTAAGAAAGAAAAAATGCGCATAATCGACGTTGATGACTTTTCCTTTAAACGTGAAAAAATTATTATTATGTACAGTGTTTATAAATGCACCGTTGAGAAAGCTGAATCTGAGTTCAGCCGAAACAATTTAAATAGTTACATCGGTTTCTACTACTGTTAAAATTACTTGTTAATTGGCATCGTATTTCATTTCCATTACAACACATCGAAGCTTTGTTGGCATCTATTGGAATTTAGAAGTAGGTTTAACAAAAATACGCCTACCCTCGAGTTACGAGTCACGTTACTAATCGATCAGAACATTGAAATCCGTCGCTATATGATTCGCACGTTGCATACATACGCGTTCGTATTTACCTTGTTGGTTTGCGATCGTTTCTAGGCAGTCACGAGAAATGAGAATTTTACTTCTTATAACCTAAGCGTATCACGTTACCGCGATTCCGTTTCAGATTGGAAAAAAAATGCCATCGGAGTCATTTGCAACCGGTACCATGAAAACCGTGTGTCGCGTCGATATTCCCGCGAGCGGGATCTTCAAAATGCAATTAAAAAAAGTTTCGTGTTCGTTGCGCAATCGCTTATGTTATCGACAAAACAATGCCATTACAAAAACTTGAAAAATCTTATATACAATCTGGTAAACTGTTTTTATCGTGACGAATACTTGTGCCGCGAAGGATACAATGAGATGGATACTATTTTTCTTAGTTTGTACGTAAAGTCGTCATTTTTTCAATCTGAAAAAGTATCGCGAACTCTCTCCTTTCGTACTAACAATATTTTCTTAATAACCGTTTCCGTCAGTTCTACGTTTCTCCTCCCGTACGTCGATCGATCCTTTTCGATCGATCTGCACAAAGTATTTATTATAAAACGAAACAACCAACGACGCTGCAACGAGTACGTACTTCGCGAATAATTGCATAAATAAAACAAAGTCGTTCGTCGAGACGCGACTGTAAAATCAGGACGAGTCTTTTTGTCGCACACGCGGAAGGAAGGAAGCGTCCTAGCCTCTCGCAAGATTCTGTTCACGATTGGAATTACAATTTTGCAGGGGAAAAAATGCGTTCGTATGGCACAGAAAAATTCTTGCAGTCGTCTTTATTATAATATAATAAGGATATCAAATGAAACCGATTTACCTATACCTATAAACTGGTTTAGGTTCGTTACGTAGCATTATGATTCAATTAATTTCATCGTTAGCTCATCCTCGTGCGGATATCGTTTCTGACGGCTCAAACGGGTCAACGCTGCCCCTTCGATTGCAACCATCGGGATAAAAAAATATGAGTGATTAATTAGACGCCAATGATACGAAAAGCGGGTCTAGCGGTCGAGTTCTCATGATCTAGCATTCTTGATTGAGGTTCTCGTCCGAAGTAGGTAGATCGTTCTTGTCACCGATGATCGTGCCAGGGGGTACAGGGCTCTGCGGGCATAACACATGCATCAGGATTAAAGTAGCCTGAAAGTTTGTGTCTGGATCATGTTAACCCTTTCAACCATCAAGGCCTTCAATCCTTATGCCGTGGAATATTATTACTCGTTGCCTATCCATCGATTCCTTATTTGTTTAGCTACTGTTCCCGTTTCTTACTTTGTAGTATATTTTTGTCGGGAATATTGTGTTTACTGGTGCATCTTATGCATATTCAGCGTCGTACTTTATAGCATAAAACGTATTTCTTGAATATGGCTCACTATATTGAAAAACGTGTTATTAGTCTCTGATTTTGGGTCTTGAAACAGTTACAAGAACCTAAAATATAGTATGATAGGTACGCTGTGATAAAAATTTAGATTTTTATCGTTGCTATCCAACTCTTCACACTTAACATTTCTCTTTAATTTAAGTAATTTTTCAATTGTTTAAGCTGTTGGAGCTTCGTATTCATTCGAATAGCTTGATTTTCCAGTTGATCTCTTTGGATCTTGCTACGGTTCGTAATTTCTCTTCGTCTGATAATTTTTGTTGCGAGCACACTCTTCTTTTACACGCACAGTTACTTCTCATTATTAATTTTCTTTTCATTGCCTTAGTTTGACCCTTGGGTCCAATACTAACGTCAAGCAGCAAATGAGAGGGATCGAATCGAACCTAATGACCCTAACCAGAGCAGATGACCGAACTTGAAGATTTTGAAACGATCATACGAATCCATAATAATACCCTAATGTCCGCGATTGGATAGACTATGCATCTTTGGAAACATTTTTGGTCCGTTACCTGGGAAAGTGGATCGTGATACGGATTCCTACCTTCTTCCCGTTTCGCATAACACGAAGTGGAATGTGTATTTGACAAATCGCTATGGATTCCAAATATTTTCTATCGTATTTATGTAATAAGAAGCATACGTTTACAATTAATTACACACACAAATGAATAAATAAAATACATTAAGCAATTTTTAATTAAAATCAGCTTCTTTTGGTAAATAGAATATAATAGTATTGTTATTTTTGTTTGATATCGCTGCAATTATAAATTTCACCCGTCTTGATAGTCCGGAAATGTTTCTTTGGCATAAGGAAAATAAACATATTTTCATAGTTACAGTTAGTTTACACAGCCATATTCAAGTAATTCAGTTAACTGTTTCAGCTACTTCTAACTGAAAATGCATAGAAGCAAACAATACGTGTCCAAATTTAGAACTTCACGCAGTGCTTTTAGGTAAATAAAACAAAATGTATGAATGTTTTATTTTTTGTAATAGGATTTTCTCATTTGTAACCTTTTAAGCATAATTATAAATTCAATTCAGAATGTACCTCCAAGGGTTAAGTTGCTATGATATTTTTTTAATAGTTAAATATCAACTGTGTTAATGTAATTTATCAATATGATCTGACATGAGGCCAGTGAAGTACTATTTATTTAATAGGATATTTTGCTTTATAATAAATTTTCGATGTACCGTTGATTTATTTTGTGAAATATAAGTTATTTGGAAACTATTCTTCGGCTAAAAATATTGGAAATGTAAAATAAAACTTAATAAGCAAGAACGTGGACGCAATTTCGTTATCTATTCCCCGTCGTAAAGGAGAAAATTAAAACATTGCAAACATATAATGCGTGATTTTAAATGCATTCGGTGGAAAACGATACAAATATAAGTATGCTGTATACAACGTAACAAAGAATCTCGAGAAACTATACTTTCGATATGCAATACAAATTAGAAACTCACAATTGTCGTTAATATATTTTAATGCGAGATAATTATTTCATTCCCGAGATTCTGTTCGGTAAACCATACCTGTGATCCACTGCCACTAAGGCTTTCTACATTCGAACCAGTCTGTCGGAGATAATCCTTATCATTGAAAATCTTTTTATCACCGCCGCCTGGCTTATGCTTCACGTTATCCAAGGATCCAATTTTGCTCTCGGCTTTGATATCAATTTTTTGTGTTTGGATCTGAAAATAACGATAGAACATCTATTACTTTCTGTCGCTTATCCTGTAAAACTGTAATTCGCTGGTCATAAAAAATAATACTTGAAAGTTGCAATATATTACTGATATACACAGCGAGCTAATAACTTTGATTATTTTTAGGGGTGTCGAACAACTTCGTTTAGAAAATATATATAAATGTATGTGTATAATTTTTCAATAATTTTCATTCTCATACAAGGATTTTCACGTGCTTACTAAACTAAATTCGATTTCAGTATACAAAAAGGACTGACTATTCGAAAAGAATATGTACACTAATTTTAAAACATGCAAAAGCATGCTGTATTTGTTTTAGATCTGAATTTACTTACTCGACCGGTGTTTATGTTAGTCAGAATTAAAGCTATGTTTTATATTGAAGACAACGATAAATAAATATCGACATGAATTACCATAAAACGAAGAGCATTTAAATTTTGTGAACGTCGTCTTTTCGACAATACAAACGAATAGCGAATGTTAGTTTAAAGTGGCACGATATTGTTAGTTTTCAACTTTAGTGCTTAAGAGTTACTCGTTTTCCAATTTGTATAATATTCACTGTAATTCAGATTTAATACCAGCTGTCGATGAGTGACCAAAATCCATCTCGGAAAAAGATAATTAGGTCAATGTTTCGTGATATTGCTTAACATACTTACGTTATTGCTTGAATCCTGTAGCGTCTTAGGTGGCGTTGCCGTTGACTGAAGACCAACAAACAATAATGACTTGTTAATAATGATGGACACAAAACTCATGCACACGAAAGTTAACCTTTCATTCGTTTGACAGAGATAATTCGAAACGAATATTAAAGAATACGAAATACATAGTTAAAAGAAACGTTTGAAGCATAATAAGTAATTATTTAAAATTTTTTAATATCATTAAGACATATTAGTAGTGTGAATTGCAATATCAATGAAACAATGACAGCATGAAGCAACGTGCAATTATATTCGTGAATTAAGGAAATGTTCTAATCGTTTCAAAACCAACAAAATAAATTAATAATCGTTTCTATCGATGTTAGAATTCTTGTTTTCCGCGACCTTCGAATCGATAAAAATTTGTGACATCGATATGAGTGTATGTTAACATTCTTCATGCAACAATGCAATCAATGTTGAAATAACTCATTTTTCTAATCCATTGAAATTCCGGGACATTCTCGTGGCGTATAAACAAAGCGAGCACTATGTTGCTACGATAATCTGATACACGTTTAAAAAGGAAAAGCGAGCATTTAATTAAGAAAACTATTTTTCGCCACGACATATAGAGCATTGTAGATTTAGGAAATTTCAGGCAAAAACATAACAGACTGTTTTAAAGCACATTATACATGTATATGTTTTGGTGTAATCGCTTTTTCCAATATTCAGCCGCGAACGTTTGATAAATCGTGTTGTAAATAAAAATGTACGAAATAATTTGAAGTACAAGAATTTTACCATTGTTATGTAAATAATGAATAACGCGAAACGAAAGTTTATTAGTGATAAGAGGGGTACTGGTACTCGATTTGCAAAACGATCAAACTAAACGACGAAAACAGATAAGGGTTTATTCGGGTTTACCTATTTGGTTCTAGAAGCGTTTAAAGGATTCTCGGTAAAACTATCTTCGGACATATTATAAATAAAATTCTTACTTTGACGCTACCGCCGCCAGGAATATGCTTAGCGTTGTCTTTGGAGCCGACTTTTGGTTTCGCTTTGTCTTTGAAGTCAACTTTCACGGTCTCTATTTTCTTGTCGCCCCCACCAGGCCTGTACGTCGCGTTTTCCAACGATCCAACTTTTGGTTTTGCGTTCCACTGAAGCTTAACTTGAGCGATCTGCGTTCAATTTCCAGAAAGATATAAAGCTATATTGTTTCATTCGTTAGAAAATTCTGTTACCTAACAAGTCTCAATGCTGTAGAGGAACAAAATCACCCAGAGCACGATACACAGTAGTGTGCAGTCGAAAAAGAATCGGCCGTAGGGTTCACCAATAGGATTAAAACTATTTTTTCAAATTTTATTTTCGAATATTGATCAAGTATCTGGATATTCATAGTATTTGAATAGATCAGATTTCATAACTGGGTTTCTTTCCCTTTATTTTGTTAAAAATTTATTTTAATATTTGTTTCACGTCTCGACACAATACTTGGGAATTGATAACGATATCAATAAGTAAACAAATTTTGTCGAAACGTCGATTTCTCGGACCGTCTGCGGATTCTTTCTTCCCACACAAGAGAAATCTTATTCTTCAGCGATTCGATAGATAAAAAGTAAAAAAATTAACCTTCTTGTCGCCGCCGCTGGGCGTGTATTTCTCATTTTTCGCCGCGATCTTCGGCTGAGCCTTGCTGAAGTCGAGCTTTCTATTTTCTATTTTCACCTTTCCGCCGCCTGGCTTGTAACTCGCGTTTTCCAGCGAACCGATTTTCGATCGTACCGTTTTTAGATTCGGCGAGGGCGCCGAGCCCACTTGAACTTTATTCATAGGCAATTCTGTACAATACAATAGAAATTGTAAATACACGTGTTCCCAAGAATATCGCGTTCGACGATCAATATCGTATCTGAATACGAAATTGAATAAATAATTCGTATTCCAAGCAGACTAAACTTAAAACTGAACTCCTGCTACTTTTGTCAAAGTATGTTTCAACTATGTGACCAAATTTTACAGAGAAAATTCATATTTCATGAATACATCTATTTTATCTCGGATTTTATCGAGAATCAGCGAATAATAAATAAAAATTTTTATATTTTTGAACTGTCCTTCGCAAGAGTACCATTAAAAATATTTTCCACCAAAAATGAGTCCAAAAACTACGACATTCTATTTATTTTCAATTATACCTAATTTTAGTTGTCTCTGAAAAACTTTCAAGTAGAATAACCATACGACTAGTCAGACGCTTAAGAGAAAACTATCGTTTTTATCGTTGATTTTGCATTACTACTTCTGCAAGTAACCTTATTTGTACATCCAATTGGTTCAAATTTTCAAAACTACTTCTTTAAAAAATACATGACACGTTTTTGTTGATTTTTTAAATTCTCACGCGAATATTACACTATGCCAGAGAACACAAAATTTGGATACTTTATTATGGAAATCTAAATAAATACGAGGCTTTGTTTAAAATCTTTGTCGATACTTGCTTTTTTTGTCTTGGCCAGTCGTCGATGAAGGAGTTTCGGGTGTTCGAGGTAAAGATTTGATAGATTTGCTTGGCGATTTTACGGGCGATCCAGCGTTTGATTTTTTATCTATTTCCTTTGATTTAGAGAGTGACTGTTTCGTCGGTGAATCCTCGACTCCGTTCGTAACCGATACCTAGGAAAATTGTGCATTGTCTTACGAGGATGCCAAAGTCAGTGTTGTAGAGTATGTCGAAATACAGGGATTATCGAAAATCGTGACGTAACTGAAAAGAATGTCCTTCTTTACGCACAAACGAGTCAAAGATATACAATAAAAAGAAATTAGGAGTCGCTGTTGTTACAAAAAACGGTAATGTTTGGAATGCAAGTAGAAATAGTGGATAATAGCCAGACTATTTATGCACCACTATTTCCGATACTCCCTGCATAAATTTACGAAGATATTTACCATATTGGACTGCACCGATTCGTCGATCGCGTTGCCATTTTGTATTCCTGCGAAAATAAAAGAAATATAACGCGATGTTTAAACAAATAATCGAGGAAGCGTCGTACCGTGCATTTTTGAAGCTAAATCTTAGCAACTCTGCAAAAATACAGCCTCTGCGAAACATTTTGATAGCAAAGTTACTTATTCGAAGCAAACTCAACACCAAAGCGAAACGAAATTTAACATCACAGTACTGCCCAACGCGTCCACTGCCGTTGTTTTCAAATTACACTTTTCATTTAATACATTTCAAAAATTTACAACCATCGAGGTAGCAGCAAACGCGTCAAACAAGAAATTCTGACATTCGACTTTTTCAAATCTACTTTCAACCTTCCACTCTTTTTTTTTAGAAATACTCTTTTAACCGCTCCTAAATCATTCGTAAGTACAAATAAGAACCTGGCGTCTCTGTAAACTTCTTTTCTGACTTTTTGTCCATCTCAGCGGCCGAGGGTGACTTTTGAATATTGGGCGTAGACGATTTCAACGGGATTTTTAAGTCGTGTGTCTTTTTGTCGTCATCCTTTGTCTCGTCGATCGAATCTTCAACAACAGTTTTTTTCTCCTCGTTCGCTAGTTTCACGCTTCCGGTGGGTGACTTCGGAGAAACGGGCGTTTCAGGAGTGGATAACGATCTTTTCTGTCCATTGTCGAACCCTTTCACGCTTTGGGCGGAAGATTCGGAGGGAGTCGCTGATTTTTCTAACGATAATGGCTTCTGACTGTCTGATGGTGTTGGAGACTTCGATAAATTATCTTCTTTCGCAACGTTAGACGAATCACCAGTCGTACCAACTGTTTTTGGTTCCACGTTGTTTTGAGCAGGTGTATCGCGACGTACATCCTTGGAAGGACTTTCTCCGACTTTCTTTTCTTCGATCACAGGTCGATTACTTTCAGAAAGATTGGGAATATCTTTGGATTTCTGTTCTGTCAAATCCTTGGTACTCGATTTGTCAGGATCAACAGACGTTGCATTTAATTTCTGTTTCATTTCGCTCGTTTCGACCGGAACAGCCACATTTATAGTAGAATCTTTCGATTCTTCGTGTTTAATAACCTGATTCGTTTCTATCAGCGTACTTGCAGGTAATTTGTTCGGAGATTTCGATTCCTGTTCACTTTCAGTTTCACTATTTCCTACTCGAGCTTCTGCTTCCACGCGCGATTTATCCGCAGATTTCGGCGGTGTTTTCGGTTCCTGTACACCGTTAGATCTATTCGTTTCTTCCAGAGGACCCTCGCTCGATTTATTCGGAGATTTCGATGCTACTTTCGATTCCTGTTCATTTTCAATTTTACCATTTCCTACTCGATCGTCTGCTTCCACGCGCGATTTGTTCGGAGACTTCAATGCTACTTTTGATTCCTGTTTACTTTCAGTTTCAGTATTTTCTACTCGATCTTCTGCTTCCACGCGCGATTTATCCGCAGATTTCGGCGGTGTTTTCGGTTCCTGTACACCGTTAGATCTATTCGTTTCTTCCATAGGACTTTCGCGCGATTTGTTCGGTGATTTCGGTGCTACTTTCGATTCCTGTTCACTTTCAATTTTACCATTTCCTACTCGATCGTCTGCTTCCACGCGCGATTTGTTCGGAGACTTCAATGCTACTTTTGATTCCTGTTTACTTTTAGTTTCAGTATTTCCTACTCGAGCTTCTGCTTCCACGCGCGATTTATCGGCAGATTTCGGCGGTGTTTTCGGTTCCTGTTCACCGTTAAATCTATTCGTCTCTTCCATAGAACTCTCGCGCGATTTGTTCGGTGATTTCGGTGCTACTTTCGATTCCTGTTCACTTTCAATTTTACCATTTCCTACTCGATCGTCCACGCGCGATTTATCCGCAGATTTCGACAGTGTTTTCGATTCCTGTTCACCTTTAGATCGATTCATTTCTTCCAGCACAGTCTCGCGTGAATCCTCTGCAGATTTCGACGGTGTTTTCTTCTCCTCTAGCAACGTATGCGATTTCTCTGGACTTTTCGACGAAGCAGTTAATTTCTGTTCCTCCTCCCGTGCTTTATTCGGCGATTTCGCCCTCGAATTTCCCTCGTCCGGAGCAGATGCATCCAATCTATTCGATTTATCATTCGTCGAGTCAGTTTTCCCTTTAAACTCTTTAAACGAGTCCGCGTTATCGCTGGCACTCTTACTTTCGATCGTTTTGTCCATCGATTGTTCCGACTTGCTATCCGTCCGCGTATTTTCATCGTGTTTCGGTGAAAATAACCTGCTATCGTTTTTAACAGACTCGACGGTGTTAGTTTCAGGTTTATCGAGCACGCGATTCCAAGCAGGATCGTTAATATTTCCGTACAATTTCTCCATGGCCGGATATCTTGCCAAATCCTTAGCCGAAACGTCTTTGAAGTCCACTTTTCCGTTTATAGTGGCGGATTCTGGTTTTTTCGTCGACTGAATGATATTGTTCTTGTCCGGGGACTTTGACACGATTAACTCCTCGCGTTTGGAAGCGTCGACCGAGGGTGATTTGTTGCTGTCTATCACGACGTCATCGTCGTCGTCGTTCTCTGCATTTTCCCGCATCTCTTTGAACGCGGTGCTCTCGGATTGTTTCAGCTTCTTGGCATTGTCACCATCGGCCATTCTTTCGACTGCGATGCTTGAAAGCGTGGACGTTTTATTTTGCTTTCGGTGATACACACTTTTACTGGGATTATATTCAACAACGATTCATGTCGTTGCGATCAGTTTCGTTCGAATTGTCACCTATTGAACGATTCGAAAGGAGAACGACCGTCGAATTGGATCTGATATGGTTGTCCTTGCGATTCTCCTATAGAATCATTATTTATAGGGTGTCTCGACGATCCAGGTGGACCAAGCGATCTCGCCCGAAAGCCAGATGGTTACACTGCGTTCGACTCTACCTACAAAATAACAATTTTTGAAAATTCCCGGCGCACGCGAATCGAAACGAATTTATAAAGTAAAATTTGTCGAGTTTCTTCGCTCTTTTCGAAACAAGTGGAAATCAGTTGACGAAAAGGGTTGTAAATATATTGATACAGGGTGTCCCGTAGCATGTGGGACCCGCTTCAGAGATGAATTGATGAATCAAGTTATAGCGAGTTTCTTCTTGAACACGTATCTATTTACTTTCAGAGTAGGTGATCAAAATTACTTATTTGCATCTAAACATAAGCCTGAAGACGTTTTGCCATTAGCTTACTCTCTCTGTTTGTCAAGGTATTATTTAGAATAATAAGCACATACAGAAGGATCACATCTGCCATTTGTTGACGAGACAAACCTCCCATTTTTATACACGACGTATTTTAATAATCAGACACCTAGTACTCTAATGTACACTGGACGTATTCACAGACTCAATGTTAGATGCTCTGTTCATAAATACTTGAATAGAATTAGTTCAATTATTCTCATCTTCAGAGAGAATTATTCCAACACAGAACTCGTTATAACTTGAAAAGAAGGACACATGTTTATATGAATTTTTGTTATTGTTTTCTTGTATAGAATCCATCTCTGAGGTGGGTCTAAAAATATTCACTGCAAGTGTCGTTACGTTCGTCTTGAAACGCTAATAAAAAGGTAATAGTAATTCTATTTAAAAGAATCTTCAAAAAGAATTCGAATATTTTATTGAGTGTTCCACGTAGAATCAATCAATGACGGGGTACATAATCACGTACACGTGATAATCGAATGTAAGAGATATTTTTAGTTTCGATGATAATAATTCTTTATTTAACAGGTCACCCCTTTGCACGTAAAATTTAGGCGATATTGGCCCTGAACCCATCGATCATTCGCCCAGCAGAGTACGATGATGCGTCAAGGATCTATATTTCCCGTACCTGCCACCGATCGTCTTTCCACTCGATGTGGTAATAAACCAAATGATTATAGTATAGCATGAGCTTTCAACGCCATTTCGATATTCGTTATTTTAAGATAGCGTGACCCGCAGCTTTTCGACTGTTTCCACTCGTTTCGCCAGTGAATTCATCAGCGAAATCGAGAAGGTTGTTAAAACGTCTGCATTAGTAAGTACGTGTATCGTGATAAAACAGAAGCAGTTCCAAGTACAAAATATATAATCTGTACAATAAAAGTTCTTCTCTAGGTCGTCGATCTTTGCAATTACAATTATTTTTCGTTTCCAATACACTTCTACAACATTTGATCCTTGATTATGTGTGACCTTGTATAAATTAGTTTTTGGAAATATCACATATTTCTAAGAATTTCTGACCGATACCCCCAAGTCTTTTTAGGGTTAAACGAACGATTAGATCAACGTCTATTTCAAGTACGAGGGCAATGGAATGTCGTGTACCTTCATTGATAAAACAGGTAACCTTCCGATAACCTTCAGACGTTTTATCAGCTATATACTCGCTCGTTTCGTTCGACCTTGAACACCTTCACGAAACTAATTTGTAGTATTGTTGGCAGCCCCTTTCAAACCAATTCTTTACGCGACTTCGCTGACAATCTGATTCAGTAAATATGCGAGAATATCGTGCAAATTCCGTTCAACGCACAGTGATTACGATATCTGATGATAAAAAAGTAACTATACCCTTCGAAAAACGAATCGTTTACCTGTGCCACGATTACTTTTTTGCTTTTGTGCCTTTCGTGCCCGTAGATTTCTTTCTGCGAAAGAAGAATGAAAAAATTACAAAAATAAGCGACAGGATATAATTTAAACACAAAAGTTTACTACTGGCACGTTTGGCTAAAATATTAAAGTATTAAAAAAAGATCACGCAACAACCTTTTTTTAAAATTCCATTTTATCCAAAAAAAGTTCGAAAAACGATAACCTTTCAAAAATTAGATACAATTCAAATGGCTGTAAAAATTGTCTCCCCTTCATAATAACCTCAAAAAATTTAATATAGGAAGCTGCCTTCAGCGAGTCGGATTTTTTATTGCTAAAACGCGTATCAAGTGGCAATAAAATGATTGAAAATTCAAATTTTTATAGGGAAATGGGTTACGTTCCGCGAAGGATTCTCGAGTTGCAGTTTTACGGATCAGAGTACGTCTTTAGCCAGCAAAAAAAGTGGGATTTGTTAAGTTAATTCCGAAAAGATGATCGAAGAAGACTTTCAATGGATGGCCACAAGCATGTCAAAGACTTCCGTTCTCGTTTTCTGGAGAGCCAGAAACAGGTCGTGAACAGCGTGTCTGTACGTCTCGGCAAGTGCCCATTCCTGAAGTTATTGATCCGACCTGGTGAGCGTGTTCGAGTCCAACGTTTATATGCACATGGATTCACATCGCATAATACGGTTAAGTTAACTCGCTAATGAGTACGTGTATCATAAAAGGTTGTGACACCTTCGTGACCGGTGTCACGTGAGACATTAAGGTGCTTTCCAATTATTTTGCGTGAAAACCGCTTGATGTACTGCGCATGCTACGCCTAGCTTCCACCACTATTACTCGTCGTTAAAAACGATCCATAATCCTCGAAAAGTATAAACTATTGCGGTTCCTGTGTTCAAACCAGCCCTTCAAGCCTTTATTCGCGGTTCGAAACACTCACGTCATCGATATATTTATGGATTAAGAAAATGATATACAAGGACACGTACGGCGAAGAGGAAAATTGAACCAATAGTAATACTTTCCTAGAAAATGATAATTTATAATTACGCGAGATTCAATACAAACATTTACGTATAGTTTTCTACGCCTGGTCCGTTTTAATAAATATGTAACTGTTTTATTTTAATAATTCAACGAGTATTAGGTTTCAGACGTTTGGAAAAAGAAAATTGCAATCGATACTGCGAGATGTGGTTATTGACATTATTTGTGAAAATTGTAATCTGAAAAATAGAATTATTTGACAATTGAATGGTGTGGTTATGATTTACAATTTTACAAGTATTGAGAAGATCAAATGTATGGACAGAAAGAAATAAAGTATTATTATATACAGAAAATTTATTCTAGTATTCTAGTATTTATTTAAAATTCAGTGAAAGGATTAACAATTTTTTACGGAGCATGGCTTCATGTAACTTCCCCTATGAGTCATTTTTAAATGGAAATTAATGTCGTGGTCAGAATTTTAGATTTAATCTAGAATCGAGGGAAGGATATTGCAACTGATGCACAAATGGGCGAACGGAAGCACGATTGAGCGTGACCGAACGTTGATAAAAACCGTTAGGTATATTTTATGTATATACATGTTTTATGAGAACTGTAAATCTTGAGTCATAAATTTGAACTCTGGTCGGATGGAATCGCTCGATGATCTCCCTCTAAACGATTTACTGGGAAAATGTCACGGTGCATGTTCTTAAAATAGCATGGAAATTTTCCTGAATATTCGGATAATATTCGACACCTATTTTCTTCTTTTAGTGGCGGTAATTCACGTTTGAGGAGCGAAGCTACCCTTCGAAATAGGGGGTTGGAAATCTATTCGGTCGAATAACTTATACCGAAGCTAGAACAAAATGCTTCGCAGAAAAGTTGTTTTTTATGAGAAATAATAAAAATTTCACAAAATCACAGATGAAGTTTAACAAATATTTATTATATAGCGTATTATTTGATTCCTCTAGCTTAACAAATTCGGTTATTTTCATTTCGTTGAATGGATTTATAAAAAAAAAATATTAAGAATACTTTTTTTTAATCATAGCGACACCATTAGTGATTTTGTAAAATTTTCATTAAAACGCTATGCAACTAGCTTCAGGTTGAGTTATTCGACTAAATAGGTTTCCAATCCCCTATTTTTAAAGGTAATAAGTATCGAATATTTATAAATACTCTATCTCTATAAGGTGTTACACAAAAATGTGTAAATATGTGTAATACTTGCGTGATGTCCCTTCTGTATTTATACTATAACTTCACGTTTTAATACACACATTTCCTATTCGAAAGCAATTAGTATTTTTAACGAACGACTGAACATGATTTTACAATCCTGAAAATCAATTCGCAAATAAAAGATTTCACTTTTAAGAAAAAGAATAATATTGGTGGAATTTCGAACGAAACCTGCACGATTCGTGGATGCCCGGATAACGAAGTATTCGATTTCTTTCTATCGATCGTGTTCTTTGTTGCAAATTGAATGTTTATAATTTTGTTACAGGAAAACAGATTGGGGACAACAATCGATAACAACAGTGACAGCGTATAAACAGGCGATATTGCTTTATCTTGCAACAGCATCTTCGAATCACCTGCAGTGGCGATGCACGATTATCACGTGGACATAGTTATCAGGTGCGCATCAACGCTTCCTGGATATTAACCTATTTACCACCATCGTGAGTGCTATGAAGATACAATTTCTTGTTGATAGAATTCGAACATTGGTCGCGTTATTACTGGTACCAACATTTATTGATCAAAAAGAAATATCTACGAAACCTGGAACCGACTTATTCAATTTATTGGACATCACACATAAATTGAATGCTTCAAATGTTCATAAATATAAACTCAATATTTAGTATTTTCTGGATTTTTCCAATGCATTTTTTCTAAGAAGAGTTCTAGGCGTTAAACATTTTCGAAATTGTTAAATTAAGTGCAGACTATTTAATCAAAAGTGTTACAGAAAGGTGGCACAGTTTATTTCTTGTCATTGTTAGCCTCGTATAGAGACGGGATGCGATTAAACTAATCGCTAAATTACAGTAGTAAACTTTATTACACTGTATATAGATCCACGCTCGAACGAAATTACCTCGTGCCCGACTTTCACGCCGATTTTTTGAAAGTATTATACTTTTCGCGAATTGACATTTCAGTTCACAAACTCTAAGACCTATAGAAAGAGTAGCTTTATCGCCTAATCTATTACCAGCATGATATCTACATTAGTTTATTATCTAAGAAGATAGATCTAAATTTTTATAAAATTTCGCTACTACATAAATTGTTGTAATATATACATATTAACGAAACTATGCAAAAATTATATTCACCGGTTTATCAAAAATATTTCTCCTCGTTTATAATTCAAGGCTCGTTCTGCTTAATGAATATTTTAAACAGCTGCAGTATTTTCACCGTGCAAAGGTAGCATAATCGTTAAATAAACGTTTTTAACTAAACTCTTGTACGAAAGAATTAGCGAAATATAAACTGTCTTTTTATCAAATTTGAATTCGAATTTTAAATAAAAATACTTGAATTTAATTAAAGAACGAAGAGCCCCTATAATGTATGTATTATTGGGGGATTATTTAAATTTAATAGACTAAAATACATAATCAATAATTAGGAGATTCGTTTGGGGAGATCTTATTTAAAAACATGATTGCAACCTCGATGCTGGAATAATTTGATTCGCTTAATATCTCATTAAGAAGAATTTATTTATAATCAGAATTCTGCGACAGCTTCGCTATATAACCGGATTTTTTATTTTTTACAGCTCGAATTAACGATTAAAAAAATCCGAAAAATATCCGTAACCGAGATGTCCCTGACTTTTGTCAAAACTCGTCACTCGATGTAAAGAAAATTAGGCAGAAACGTGATTTTCGATTTATATCCTTTACAGAGTCGAAGCTCGTTATAAATTAATTTTTTCTTTTGATTCATCACCTCTGACCTCGTTATTTCGTTATATCCTTTCACCAGAACGAGACGCAGGTAAGAGATAACGTGGAACGAAATCGAACCGCTGACTTATCCAATACAGGTCAACGAATCTCGCTCCTCGGCGAGACGAAACCGAGTACGATTAATATCGCGTAACGTGGTGCAATAATAACCTATTACGTCGTCGATTAAATATTGATCGTTGTATCAAATTCACGCGAAGACACGACAAGTATTTACGATTTTTCTCGCGAAATCGACAACGTTCTAGAATCGCAGGGATTTACGACGCAGTAGACTCGAAGGTGGATGCTGGTCCGGAAGTCGGTTGTTCCTTACCTGGTATCGAACTCTAGGATGACCCTCGTCGAGAATATTCGACCACGAACCGAGAAACGTTGTCCGTCAATCAGTGTCTCGCGAGAAACTAGCTTGTATAAAGACCTGGAAGTTCCTCCTCGGTAAGGTACGTCCGTCGGGCCACGATCTGTCTGTTTGTCCTGGCATGCTCTGCTCCTGCGCCTCGACGCCCAACCACCCAACGAGACAACCTAACCCGACTCAATCGATAACCCACCTATGTACATGCGATTTCCTTCGACTTTTACAAAACAATCTATCGATGAATTATCCCTCCAACGTCCCTTTCTTTACAACCAAACTTTTTCGCAAGGAGACCCGAAACAAAGGATCGCGCGTGGTTAGGATATCTTCGACACACGGTCTGCCCCCACTGAGAACCGTCGGTCTCGTTTAAGGATTGGTCTCCGTAAAATGCACTATATATGGAAATGAAATACGTTTATAATCGATGCAAAAACATTCCCCCGTATTACTTCGATCACAAAACAGAAAGTGCGAAATTTTAATTAAACGGAAAGGACCTGTTAATTCGGAAAAGAGGACTTATTGAAAAATTGTACGTTGGTATTGAAAATTGTACGAGAAAGAAATAAATGTTGTTCGAAAGTCCTCAACAGTGTACGAATTTAATTGGCGTCTAAATGGCCAAATCTTAAAAACATATGAGACTTAAGGGCTAAGATTACTAAAAACCCTAATTTTTCATCTGTAATAACAGAGGTTGGATTTTTCCTTCCAACAAGGGTTTTTATTATTGTATTTTCGTCAGAGAGCCAACAATATTTTCTCGATGAAAGTCAACAAAAATCAACAAAGTCTCCTTCTATTATAGTCATAAGTCCTAAAGGGTAGAAAAGGGTGAGAGGTATTTTTTCGTTCGAGTCTTCATTTCCGAGATAATTGAATCTAAAAATACCTCTGGAACAAGTGAAATTCAATACGATATCCCTGACGCGTCTGACCATCGGTCGATTTTTCTACTTGTCCGTACCCCATAAATTTGCAACGTCGATTTTCTCGAAAACAATGCCTCCAACGAAAAAACGTTATTCTTCCTTTCACATTCATTTTTCAATATAGAACCACCCTCTGTACCCAGTGGTACCACCTGTCCCCTCCCAACCCTGTAAAAATCGATTTCTATTTAATACGTTATCGATATTCTTTTATCAGCTTCATTTTTACGCCGATGGTAGATGATAAAGATACTATTTGTAATCCTTCTTTATTAAAATGTGTAACACATAATGTGTGCCAGAAATAATTGCCTATTTTATATCACCATGAATAAACGAAGTACGAACTATGAACTATTGTCACATTTAGAATATTCAGTTTGCCTGTTCGATACATTTTATTTGTACGTAATTGGAATCATGCACTTTTAATGAAATTCTTACGAAAGTGGTCTGATGAATGGTAGTAGCAAATGTGTTAAATTATGTCACATTCTTTTACTAAAACTGGATTGTCTCGTATACTAATCGTATCAAGCTTCTTTTCCATTGAAACAACGGCAATTTAATTAACAAACAACGTTAACGCGTGCAGTCAATTAATATAATTTTAACATTGTTCGCAAAAACTCTACCAGAGTTATTGTTTACCAGAAACTTTTAATGGTCGGAGATTTTGCTTCAACTGTGCACGGTATTCGCCTCGGTTCGGCGTTGAAATGCCTGTTCCCCATACCTGAAATCAAAAATAGTTTACCGTTATCGAACGTCTATTTATTCTTCCTAAACGAGAAGCTAAACGCAAGACTAAAATCAGAAATCAAATTAAATCAATTTTTCGGCTTTTAAAAAAAGACCAGAAATACAAAAACTTCTTCGTTATGTTCATATTGCGTCACCGAGGTTCGAACTCGAATTAGGGTTCCATTGGTCAGAGTTATCGATTGTCTGACTGCATTGTTTTTTAAAGAACTCCCCTCCCCAGGGTAAATTGTTTAATTTTACAATCAGTGTAGATCATTCGAAAAGTGTCCATCGTCCAGAATGTTCAGTGTCAGTATAGGAAGAGGGGTTAATTGTACGAAAGTATATTCTGTACATTATTTGAGACTCGTTTATAATTTATTTGTTATAAAATAACGATTACGAGTGACAGAAATTTGCTCGTGTTACTTTTTGTTAATGATTTTTATTCCATAAAAATTATTAGGGTAATTGTTACTTTTAATTCCTGCTCAGAAACGTTTATAGAATGCAACGTGAAACGAATAATAAATGTATTTTCCTAAGATTTTGTGGCTCTTGATTTCGCGTTGAAATATCGCGGTCTTTCGTCGAAAAAACAATTCCTGAATAACCGGCTATGCTACTACAGTCACCTAGCGTGGGTGGGGCAAAGTACTACCTGTCCTCCATTATAGTAAAACAGTTTAACATAATCCTTTCAATCAGGGATTTAATACCGATATTATTCAAACAAAGCTACACCAAAATCGAAGTAAATATCGGTATTCCTACTATGAGTTTATCGATAATTAAGAACAGCAACAATAGATATATTTATCAACTTGCGAATTTTCAACAGCACACTTTTTCTAAATTAATGGATTTATGGATTTACTTCTACAATTCCTGGAATATGTGCTTATCTTGTCTCCGAAAAACTAATCATGGACTTTCTCGAAATATCGAATACTAATTATCAATTTAAAATAAATATGTATTGAATGTACTTTAAGTTACGTACCCTCCCCCCTCCCCGCCGCCAGGTAAACTGCCCTCTGTCACAAGTTAGTCCATTTCAACGTGTCCCTCATAGCGAAAGAGTTGCCGACCTCCGGCCTACATCGTATAGAATTAAACTGCAAAACGGAAACGTTATTGAAAGAATTTTGAAACATTCAGACAAGATTTTTGCCGAAAACGAAATTTCAAACTGACGGATTCAGTGATTGCATTTTCGGAGGAGAACGAGATTCGATTGCTATGCAAGCCGTTTAGAATGTAATGCGAGAAAAAGCGTTAGCAAATTTGTCACCGATAGAAAACGAAAGACCAAAAAAGAAAAAAGTAAATTTGATTGTTCCGAGGTTTGCTACAGCGTGGAAGCCGAAAGCAAAGCTATGACACGATGATAGAACACAGAACAGGTCGGAGGAAGATAGCTGTCCTCAGTCTGGGGGAAATTAATGTCTAGAAATCGTAGATTTATCACGTAAAGCCTTAGACGTGGGCACTCGAGATCCCAAACTCAGATGAAAGAGTGTTCGTAAATCCAGAAACTTTTTACAAAACATAAATATCATGCTGTTCCATTATTCAAACGAAGAAAAGAAAACGTAATTCACCACAATATTACAAATTTCTTCCAAGCAGGAAAGTATTGAATTCAACCTTAGAAGGGAAAAGTAATTTTTTTTCTTTCCACGTGGTATACTACCCCTTTCAGACGTGTGTCTGGTCGAAGATTACTAATCCACAACGATGGAAGCCTCGCAAGGTACCTTTGAAATCGAGACACGAACCCCCGGTGTCTTGAGAATCGATATTCGCTAACAGGGGATGTTTGGGAGGCCAGAAATTCAAAATACTATGGAATTTATTATGGAATAATTTTCGTTTTTACCATTATTCACTATTAGGAGGGTGAAATTATTTTAAAGCCAACGACTCCTTGGCTAAATTAAGAAAATAGAGATTTAGATTTAAAGACTTTAAAATCTAGATTCCTGAATGAAAATTCCGAGAGATCGGGTTGAAAACTTTTCACGCAAGCCATTTTGATAAATCAACACGTGTTGTGTCGGGAGTTCCTTGATTCTTTAACCGTGTTAGAGCGAAATCGAGTTACGGGAGCGTTACAGGGTGGGGGTATGGCTGTATTCGTTTTATAGTTGTCCTATATACGCTGGCGCGAACGTTCGCGGTATCTAGGAAAATTACGGGAAAAGGTAAAGGAAAAGGTGACATGTGGCTATTCTTGGATCATGGACCCGTAGACCGATACTTGTTCAAAGTGGTTAGGTTTGTCGATCTTACGTGCAAGTACGCCCACACGGATGCGCACGACGCTACGCATTCTTACTATTTCACTCTCCCTTTCATCGCGATTCTTCCGTCTCGCTCCGGATCGTCTACATTTAGATGCCTCGCGACAGTCGATTCGCAACACGTTCAAGTTATCTATGCTAATTGCGCTAACCTAAATTCCCGACGACGAATCTTTCGAATTCCATTTTCGAGCGAAATCACGACACGGAACGCTCTAGGAACTTCCACGCGCGATCGTACGCTTCAAAACGCGCGACAAACGTGTTTATATTAATTACATTAACAAACTCTAGAGTCAGGTTTCGAAAAATATGTATATATTTAGTTCTGCGTACCCTCTCAGTCTTTTTTAATAGAAGCTTTTAAATTAACTACTGTGATGTATTCAACTGTCACAAAAACCCTAATAAATATATGTTACAATGCGTAGAACAAATGTAAAAATGCACCACTGTCATAAATAATATCGGAAAAATTACTAGAAAAACACATACACACTTGTCGTACAAAGAGAATACTCGTTTCCCGGCAGTAACGTGTTAAGATTCGCTACTTCCAAGAGAAACATTTATTTATAAATGATTGGTTGTTCAAATATAACGATTCTCCACTAAATCCAATAGAAAATTATTGGGCAATTTCGATACGCGACAATTCATTCGACCGAGCAATTCAATTGAATTTTTATTTTTATCCACCGAATAGATAAATAGTTGTTTATTTTTCGAAAATTTCCTTCCGATAGGAATTTTGCCTACTTCCGTGTAAAATCGTGAACATTTAAAAACAACTCTTACACCCTTGTGGAGCAGGGATGCTGTGCGACGACGCGTCGTTTTATTATCGATTTCCCTGGTTGCCACTAGTGCAAACTCTCTCTTCCACATCTCCCACTCGTTTCCCTCTCCCTTTATTTGGCCTTTGTGCGAGTACACCCTTCCTGTTTAACGCAAAACACCGTGAGCGTACGTTCGTCTCAACGTGACGTTTCTGTCTAGTTACAAATGCATTTCAACCGCTTTCCTTCCGTGTCTCTTTCGTTTCTGTGTCGCGATTATCTGCATCACGCACAGAAATCACTCTAAGAAGTCTAAAAATACATCAAACATCGTCAATTTGATAAATCTTCGATGCAGTTTTCTAATCTCTACGAAAAATTATTACGATACTTATGCTCTAAATCGTTAAAAGTTACACTTTACTATATTATTTCGGTGTATTATTCTCCAGACATTCTCGTGTACTATTACTCTTACTATTACGCGATAGATTGTTTTTGTAAAAACGATTCTACGATCGACCAATGCAAGATTAACTTTCTCATGGATAACTCTGTGCATCATCAACTTATCGCTAGAAAGATAAGATTGGTCGTTTGCAGAACACGTCGTGCAATGAAAACAAACCTATATTCGGATTTTCAAATGTTTATATCGTAAAAAAAATATGTACATAAACATAGAAGGAATCGAATATGTTCGATATGTATATTTGCTGGAAGTGATAAAATGAACAAACGATCGTACAGAAATAAAATATTTTACAATCAAGGGAAAACAATGTACGTTATATTAACACCTTCTACCTAAAAAGTAGAAACAGCTTAGATATTCGTTTCTTTGGCAAATGGCCGATTCTTTACGGATTCGAGCTGTCAGGACGCGCGAATGGCGCGGAATTTAACCGGTAATGGAAACCGGAACAGATCGGATAAGGGTCGTTTGTACGAGTCGAGCTCGAACACCGACAAATTGCTACCAAAGACAAGTACGATCGTTCGTTTAAGGGAAACCGTGCCGGTTTGCATCTATGAATCATGTAGATTGTGCCTGTTGCATAACGTACGAGTCGGATTCAATGCGTGTTTCGCGCTCGATTCGGAGACACGTGTTACGAGATGTTTGATCGAAAGTAATAGGTGCATAATTCACGGAACTACGGCACGCTCGGGGCATTTCCAACACTAAAACTGTATACGAAATGTTATACACGGCCGGAATGCAACGTTTTTCCTTCGCCGCCTAACCTTCCGAAGATGTTAATTAACATACGCTCGCGAATGCCTGTTTATCTAGCACACGTTACATAATACTGTTTTGCTTACTGTAGACATCGACGAAAGTACGTGATTTTCGCTATCGTCATAGAAGGAAGCAAAGTCATACGAATTTGTAAATTTCATATACGTTGCAAGATTAAAAAACGGTTGCAAAAAAAAGAAATTATTCTGAAGTTTACGACATAAATATATTAATTGTATAAATAAGAATTGATTTATAAAGTTTGTGAGTGTATAGTAAACATGGAAGAAACGAAATAACTGTGAATTATGTTATTTTTAATATCGCGTTACCGAGGAGAAGTAATTAAACTTGGGAAATAATTTTGAAATGTCTTTTGAAACCTTCGGTAGAAACAATGTTAATACATCGTGGTGCTTGCATGTTCGTAACTTTGTTCAAACTTAATTAAAACTATAATAGGTGAGGGGTTCACGAAACGGTAGATGAATTTTGCTTGAAAGGGACAAATTATATTGCATTTTGATAACGAAGGTCTCCAATGTGACTTAAGTTTCGTCTATTGTCAAAAGTTTATCCACGAACCCTTAGAGTCATTTTAAACAACACAACGCGTTACTCAAAGTACCGAATTTGTAGTCATTTATCGACGATAATACTATACTGGAACCATGACAAGTGCCAAGTATTACATCCACGCATTCGGTATTTGTCAATGGATGTTCTGGCACTTGGCAAATAGCCGAATGCGTGTAGCGGGTTTAATGCATACAATTATGTGTATGATACCTCGTCGATTCAGTAACATAAATTAAGTTCCGGAATTATAGACTTCGATCGTCGTGAAATTTGTAATCTTACATTCGAAATCTCATCGTTATTTAAATTGAGTATAACAATCGTAAAGACTGAAATAAATTTGTCAAAAACTATCAATTTACTTCTTTTGCTTGACAACAAACAAAGCGTATTTTAAGCACTATGACTAATCGAAAAGAGTGAAAAGAAAGGAAATCAATTTTTTGAAGCCTCTAAAATAGGGAGGGAGACCCCTTAAGGTTTCTCCAGGGCTTCTCCACATTTGATTTTAAAGTAATACTGCGGCCATTAGAGACAAATGTTGTTCAACTTTATATAATCTGTTTAAGAAGCTAGTATCATAATTTTTCAAGAACTCGCTAGTCTACAATAATTTACATTTTCAAATAATTATTCTATTACGAAGAAATTAAAAATGAATACTAGAAATATAGAATTAGGAAATTTATGATAAGAACAAGCAACATTTTACTGATCGTCTAATGAAAAATTTTATTCGAAATGATTATTTTACGAAGATATTGTAAATGCATTTGAGAAATGAAATAACCCTGAAGAATGGAATTTTTTCAGGATACTTTGCGGAGTTCACTGCCGCCAGTGAGCATAGTTTAGTTGCACAAACAATGGACGAGTACGAGAGCGTGATGCAAATCGTTCTAATAATCACGAGGTACGACAGGGCTTGAAGCGGGACATAGGTAATGAGAATGACCTTGGCCCCTTATTCGTGTAACGATAAGCACTCACGTAACTATAAGTAGTCACGTATTAGTAGTAGCATTAACTGGAACAAACCATTCATTTAAGCAAGGATGCTCGCGAAGTTTCGTTTAAGAAAAATGTTTCAATCATACTGGTCGTACGAGTCTTCAAACGATCAACACATTGAAGCCGTTAAATTACTCGCTGCCTTTCTATCGTTTAGAAATAGATGTTTATTCGGCCAAACAAATCTTATTTCATAACAAATTTCTAATTCGTGATTTTGCAGGCTCAAAAATAATTTTTTCCGATTTAAATGCAATACCTCGATAGAAATAAAGCGCATACTTTACATTTTTCTCCTCGTCGATGCGTTTCACTGGAAATTGAAGAATTAAAAATGTTTCGCCTTTGTCGGTCTATTTTTACCGGGTTAAAAGCGAAAAATCAATTTGTCAAACGTGTTGTGTCATTTAAGGACCAGTGAGTAGGTCGACCAATTAAGGCCTTGAGCACATCATCGAAAATGAGCCCGGCCAATTTTGCAATTACACACCCACACAACATCGTTTACTACTTGACGCTCGTCAAACTCTTAAGTGACATACGATACGGTAAATATTTCGGTCAATTCTGTCAGACAGCTTAACTGCACATATGTACCAAAGGAATTGCTGGTAATATTTCGGAAGCTAAAGTTTGCAAAATAATTAACGAGCTGCTAACAAAACGTTTACTCGAGTCAAATACATTAATTCTATAACTTGTTAAATGCCCTTTGAAACGACACGTAACATTCATTCGTGTGGATAGCGATGGAACATAAATCGTGACAATATATTTAACGTTTTACATTATTAGTTATAGTATAATATAATTTACTGGAACAAAAATTATATTAGCAATGGAGGAACACGTGTAACAGTTACAAAAATTGCTGGTAATGTTAAATGTATGAATGATCTAAATATCAACCTACATGATTAAAATTAATATCAGTCTTGTGAAACTAGTTCTAAACTTAGAGTAAAATATTAGAGTTAGAAAAATTTAAATAAATATGTAGAAAATAATTACAACCATAATTCTTACGAGCTGTACCGTTAGAATTTCGATCAAATATTTATGTAATTATAGATTAAGTTCAAATAATTAAGGTTAATGTCATGAACACGAACCGAATGATATAACATTCTTTAATTTGTATTTGGTAAAACGCTATTCGAATTTTCAGCAACGTTTCGAGCAAATATTTAGCTAATTAACCGTTCGTATCAGATGTTTGCGCTCTGTATTCTTACGAGAGTAACAATTCACAACGGTAAATCGTACTTATCTGAAATGAAGCGAATCGAAAACCAGATAAGGTGTAAAATTAATTATGTATGAACATCTGACGGCAGCATCAGGCTAATCAGCATCTAAAACACTCGCCAGTCCTACGGTTCAATATTATATACCGGGTTTTCTCACCGCGTTGAGTCTAATAACTCCGTACACCGGGGTTATTGTACAATTACCAGTGTAACCATCTGTGTGTATTGGAACGGCTCCTAATTGTTCGATTATTATTGCAGATACAGTTAACAAAGGGATTAATTGGTTCTTTTTCTGCTAGATGCTCCACGAAATTGTTTTGGAGAGAAGATCGTGCTCGTTCGATGCTATTATGAGAGATGCAGCACGCTGTAATATTTTATTTTAATTGGTGAAACACGGATAATACGCTCGAATTTACTGTATCACGATGTTTATTAAAAAAATTCTGTGAGCTCACACAAATGATTATAGAATCTTTTTAAACGTGAATTGATACACAAAAAATTATTCTAAATTTTCGTCATATTTTCTGATTTATATATTAATCTGTTCTATTCTTCTGAACACATATTTGTACAAATACTATGTGAACGCTGTGGTTTGTTTATCGTACCGTTATCTGGACTCGGATGGAAAAATTAAAAAAAGTTTGTTGTTATCTAGCGAACGATGATAGAAATTATAAAAATTTATAGGAGGACAGGAAACAAGCGAGTAATCTGCAAATTAAATTGCTAATACTCCACCAATCCATAAACGCCCATCCTTGGGCATGAATCAATTTTCGATCGAAACACTTTAGAATATAATATAATATTCTCGACGATCGACGATTTTAGGATCGGAGCTATTTTTAATTTACCAAAATTATTCCAAATTCTCGTTCTAATTTTCCCCCCAGTTACGTATCAATCTATTCTTCCGCGGCACCTCTTATCTCTACACAAATACTATATAAACATCAAACTCTACTTATCAAAGAGAAAAAATACAAATTTACGTGAACCTCGACAAAAGTCAGACAAGTCGCAAAAATCTATGCAGGACATCCACAAATTAAATTGTAAATATTCCACCGATCCAACACCAACCCAAACAACTTTCAACGAATCAACCTCTGTATAATCGAACCAATTCATTGTTAATTTCCCAGAAACGTCAGATTCAACATAGAAACGACGACAGGTAATTTAACCGGAATTTTTTTTAACGCTGCGCTGGCCAAGATGGCGAATGTTGTAGCAATGAGCCGCGGCGACGTGCATCCGTTTGAGCTCACTCGCGAAAATAGTAACGCGTGTGGGAAAACGCGCGCGTAATAAACTCTAACCTGTTTGCTGCGCGACGTCGTCGTCGTCGTTCTGATGCAATCTACTGCCAGCTATGTCCTTGCCCGGATTCACCTGCACATCCGTCATTTTCTCCGCGGTGGAACGGAGCTCTGCGCGTCGCCTGGCTCTTGCGTTTCACTGAGGCGGCTCGTCTACTCTCAGCGACTCGTTTCCGCGCTTGTTGTCGGGTCGCGAATTCGTAGCCACAACCGGAGGACCGACCGAAAACCGCGACAGGACAGACTCTCACGGTATCACCGGTTGCGATACGATCGAACCCGAAAGACGAAACGCACGACACTTGCGACGCGTTTGAACTAACTGACTCGACCGCCGGCTTTCCGGGATCTCCCGAAGGCCCCACGCCTCACCATCGGAAATCACCGAGCGTTTACGAACCTCTTGCTATTCGTACGTTTCTCAGGTAAACATTCGCAGACTCGTGTCCGCATCGCAGACAGGGCAATTGCGATCTGCGCATCGCGCGTTCACCCTTTTTCCATGCTCTAACGCTGCCCGCAGTGATTCAACCCTCTGCGCTACGAGCGTTCCCGACGCCCATTGGTCGACAACGCTCGTGGTGGGGACGGGGTTAATGTTTTCAGGACGAATGAATTGCTCGTCGACTCGACGCTCTTTGGTGCAGGCTATACACCCCCGCCACGCAGTGTTCGAAAACGATTTAGACGTGAAAAATTATATTGCATCTTAAAAGTGAATCATGGATCCTTAAAAAAAAACTTATGAACGATCATTAACACTCTTAACATTAATTTTACTTAATAATTTTTGTATTATTTTATGTCGAAATTAAATTATTTAATTAAAGAAGAAAACAAAATGTATTTATTATGGAAGTTTCACTACTAGATAACATTTTGAATTATATAATATATGTAAATAATAGAAAGTGGGAATAATAAGAATAAAATTCGCTAACTCTAAAGTTATATTATTAAAAAAGTAGCAGCTGATTTTTAGAGAAACCAAAAGAATGAACGATAAACCTTACGATAACTGGATACTAAAATTGGTTCTCTTTGATTACCTGTGTTTAAAATTATAATAAATTTTGATCAATTGTTTTTATTCTAAAATAAAGTGTGTACCTTTCTGTGCAATATTCGTACAGTACAAAATGAAATCATTGCAATATCATTATTTCCTAGAAAGAGAAATATGAACTGCTAAAACAGATATCCAAGAAGAATAGAAATGTCGAGTTTTTAACTAAAAATTAACTTATTTAAACAATTTCTAGGGATAAATAATGTTTCAAATGAAGACACCTAAAGTAAAATGATTGGAGATGGTACAAAATTCGACTTTTGCCCGTCTAAATCGTCGTTTTCGAACACTGTGGGACATCGCGATTAGAAGATCGTCACGAGACTGATTGTACCCTATGGTAGGATTCTGAATTATTAGAATTATCATCCCTGTCGATGTTTCTCATGTCTGATTTGCCCAACAATTTGCTCTAATGTTTCAAGATCACATCAGTTTAATCGGGGTTTTCGATCTGTCCAGAGCCAGGAAGTCCAACCCCAGCTTCAGTACCCCTGTATACTTCCGGTTACGCGGTTACAGCGCCTCTCGAAATTGATCACTTTCGTTTGTTATACTTCCCATTTAATCAAACTATGATCTACGATTATAAAAATTTAAAAGCTGATAGGAGTAATTTGACGTGTGGAACCGTAATAAGATCAACGATAGACTAAGAAGTATCTATGATTCAACAAAATCTAGCCTACTCAAAAAAATTGTCTCCACAATGCTGCATTAAGAATAGCAATTGGCACATTCAGGTTGTGTCCTATTCTTAGCAAAGTCGTGGAACCTCCTCTTAAAATAAGAAGATATACAGAGTAAGTCGCGTAATTAGGGCATGTTATATCTCCAATTTGATGAAAAATAGAAGAAAAACTACGAGGAATGAGGATAAAGTTGAGTGATACGATAGCGTCTATTTTTCAGACATCATTTTTTGAAAAGTATTAGAGTTGAATTCCAAAACGTGTACAGTAAGTCCATCATTAACTGTTGCGTGTGATTTCATTACTATATAATAGATTGGCAATGTTTAATGTCCAAACACGTTTAAAATATATTAATGAAACATCGATTAACTAATTCGATATGCCTTTGATCATGAGTCTGCTAAAAGAAAACCCGATATTTTAAAAAGCACACTACGCTGACGATGTATGGTATCCATTCTCAGACCACGCGCCTGAATAAAGTGAATTCTTTTCTTCAGATGGGCAAAGGAAACGATTTCACGTTACTAAGAATAAATTTCTTGAAACATCCAGTTAATGCAGTTGACACATACAAAGTTCTGTGAATTTTTAGATTTTCCAACAATTTACAGAGTACAATTTTCTAATATACTTTAAGGAACTATTCTAATTTCGCAGCCATTAGCTCGACTCTACCCAGGAGGAAAGTATTTAGAATACTTTCGTTGTGGGTAACACCGATTACCAGATCCCACCACGAGAAGGTTGCTGCGACTGGAAACCCGAAAGGAGATAGATGGAATCTAGGTTCCATCTCTATCACCGAGTTAAAGAACCATGAAAATTTCAGAAACGAACAGAAATGAAAATCGAGCAAAATTGAAGAAAATGTACTATTATAAATCTGATTCGATCGATATAATACCTAAACTGAAATCTGCCTTAGAAACACAGTATTCCTTACTTACAATTATAGAAATAAGTGACAGAGTAAAAATAGCTAAATATAATTAAATTATATCATATTTAAATATAATTAGCTAAAGAAATATCAAGATTCTATCAGAAGAACAATAGAATGTCACATAACAGGAGAGAAATAGAAATAGCAAATGATTAAATAAAATACGATGCTACAAATTATTTTTGTTCCATGTGATATACCTACTTAAAGACTAAGAAGCTGTTTGTAATCATTCATAACGAAGGAGGCAAATTGTTAAACAAATTTAAATCAAGACTCAGTGATTAAATAAACAAGTAACTATGAGCATATATTACAGTTAAACAAAAAGAAGAGATAATAGTGGTCAGTTGATACCACTAGTGACCAGATGACCAGAAGACAGGACTCAGGTGCGTAGATCCTTCTCCCTCGGAGGCCTAAGCTGGAAAACTATTTTCGGCACTGAAGTCAATCTTAACTAAGGCAGAAGGAGTGGGGTTAATGGAACAAGGTCAAAGTTACGTTAGGTCTCCGTGACGAGCAACAATTTCACGAAATATTAATATTTATAACAATTATTTACTAAGTCGATATTTTTAATAATTATTTCAACTACTGTCCAATAAAAATTGTTAAAAATTACAATCGATAGAAATCATGATATAGTAATATTTGTATGAATCGAAGATTTCGACGAATTTTTATTCCAAATCGTGATTGTAATTAATATTTATGTACTTTTTAAATGTTGTTGGCACAATATCCATTACAATTTATCGAATTTTTACCGAGTGTCATAGTAAAAGATGACTCCTGAAGTGTGTCTTAATTATGTAAAATACAACGTTATCCTTCGATGTCCTTGCTATAAACTTGAATGTAACGTCAAAATATTATAAAAGCAGTGCACAATTAGAAAAATTATGCTATTACAAATAGTTAAGTGTTCTTTCCAAATATATATTAATAGTTGCAAATGATAGGAACGAAAATGTAAATTTTGGAAAGGTTGAGGCTTTAGAAAGTATTTTCTAAAAATTAACGTCACAATATGCGTGATAATTATGCATTGCAAAACAATGAATTCTATACATAAATCGATTATGTAGATTCGGTAGATGCAGTACCGTTCGATTGTTTATTATAATTAGAAGATAATCGCGAGCCATATTGGATCAAACATTTTAAATAGCCTTCGTGTCCGAGCAAAAATAATTCCACGGTACCCTGCGTACCGCGAATTTCGTATGAAAATGATTGACAAAATCGGTTTGGCTGTCCTCGTTAGACGAGGGGTATTTATTAAATTAATCGTAAGAAGTAAAATAACATTGATCTTTTTCTTTCGGTTCTGTACAATGTTAATACATAAGTGTATATATTAAGATATTCGTATGATATTATGTGTCGTTATCGCTAAAAATATATTGTGTTGCAACGGTGCAAATAAACCGAATCGAAGTGTGATAGTTTCTCGCGTGTGTTGCGAGCGATTGGTACGTTTGCTTTTAAGATCGCGTGAATTTGGGTAGGTTTTTGAAAATTTTTTTTTTATTATACATTGGTTGCCGAGAGGCTCGATACGACGATACGTCGATTCAGAATGTTTTTCACTGCTTCGCGCGTCAGTGTGAAATGTAATATGCTCGGGCGCGCTTAATGATTTTTAATAGGAGATGAATGGTATGATGAATATAACGAACAGACGTGTCCCTCATTGACGTGGAGTTTGTCGACCGATGAACGCCGACATTATGGCGATCGCGTTGTCACTTCAATCTTCTGCCGTTGCTCTCTCGCACAGTCTACGGAGGAACGCTAAAAAAACAAAACGATCCACGTTAATTACGTTGAACAGCAACAGCGGCACGAGTCGACCGGCAAAACCAAAAAGTGGTCACAATTGTCGTAAAAACGCTATGCCGATCGAGCTTGGCGCCGAATACACATATATAAGCGTGATCGAATTCAGTAAGCATTAAGAAAATTTGATTTGCCATTTCAGGATGTTGTATAATATATTACAAAGCTCACGAAGCTCGAGAAATTTGAGCTTTGTTTCCGTGACACGAAGGGTTAAACGTTATTTTAAATTTTGTCAAAACCTAAAATTTTCCAATATGGATACCGTTTATTCCGAATTGCAAAAACGAGTATTTCGCGTATAAATTAACGCGAATTTTATATTTATTTATAGTAACTCCATCTCTATAAAACAATCCAGAAATATTTAAAAAATAATATAACACCTGAAAAACGTTTTTCGTCGTGTAGAGGGCAAAATCGAAATATATAAATGGCGTTAACGTCGTTAAAAAATTGTTTTTAACACCCTCGAGTCACGAGCCTCCTGCATGAACATCTTTAACCGTTTATGGTAGTCAGTGCGAGAAGCGTGTTATCGATTTCAGCATCCCTGATGATTCGTTGCGTCCTATATTTTGCGAGATGTGCGTGCGAAGAGGGGGGTGGGGCGGTGGGCGAAGAAAATTGTATTAGTTTGCAGATAAAAAACAGCGGAAGAAGAAGAAGAAGAAGAATCAGAAGAAGAAGAAGAGGGAAACAAAGGCAGACGACACATGGAGACGCACTTTACAGGATGTACTTACGAAACACGATTTTTGTGACACTGTCATCTTGTTTGCTTACAATAGCACCATCATCTTCTTCAAGAATGCTGTAGAAAACAAAACACGTGGAAACGTCAAATGATGGGGGGCTTGGGCCCGAATGATTTAATCATTCCCGTGACACGGCTGGACATTTCGGGCGGCTGCGTATACGATCTAAGGATTTACTAGTACTGTACATTGGGTGGGGTGATGATAGGGGGTGAAGGTTGCTTTAAAATTTTCTACTGCAAAATCAACCACGTCTACTGACAAAACTTAGACAAATGCGTTTCCTTGAACTGCTTTCCTTCCAACTACCTATGCTCTACGCTAATTGTCTGATGCAGCTTATTTAACACTCTTTCTGTCTTCGTCTATTTCGCGGGATGCATTTCCGTCCTACGCGTGGAACGATACTTACGAGCATAGGGGATGAAACCGTCGTCGTCTTCCGGGTCCATGCATTCCTTCAACACGGTGTCCACTTCGTTATCGGCCAGTTTCTCACCTATGGGGGCACATACAACAATCGTTGATCGCTGTTTCCATCTTTCTCGCTACCATTACTACCGATCGATTTTTCATTTTTCTATTTTCTTGAAGAATATATATTCAAAAATATATTTGCAAAACTTTAAACAAAAAGATCAAAATATTTGAGTATCTTGTTTTCTCGTTTAAGAAAATATTGATAAAACTCGAAACGACTGGCGACAATAAATACGAATGATTTCAATACCAAGCGAGAGCAGCGTGTGCGAAAGTTCGGCCCCGAGCATCATTCCGTTTTCTTGTTTGTCGTACAGTTTCAGACACTCGAGGAAGTCTTCGTAGCATCCCTGTTCCTTGTCCTTTTTGCACTGGCTGTAAATCGGTAAGAATTCGTCGAGTTTCATCAGTTTCTCGCCCCTCTTTTTCGTTCCTCCAAGCTTCTCGATGGTAGCGTTCGTGGGGTTCAGGTTAAGGGCCCGGAGAACATTTCCAAGGTCGACAGCGTCGATTTGGTTGGAACCGTCAGCATCGTAAATGGAAAAGGCGAATTCTGCCTCTGTTAAACGAATATGCAAAGAAACGATTAATCGACCAGGAACATGCAAAGAACTTCAGGAACCGTCTAAATTTAGCCAACGATATAGATTTATTTTGAAACGATCGTCCAAGCGTTGGTTGCGCGCGCCAATATTCTTTGCATCGTTTATTTTGAAGACGTTACAGACTCAGCAAATTAAATTTATATATACAATTTTACTTTTGTAAAATTAAATCAGCTATAATTAATAAGACTACTACGATAGTCACCCCCCAAAAGTGTTCACGATCGTTACATAAATAAATTACCATCGTTAAATTTGTAACGTTGTAAATTTTTAATGCTTAAGAGAATTTTTGCGCCGGAATACTCGATATTCGAAATGGAGATTCTTGGGTAGTTTTAAACCGTGGAATGCCGAGCGTGAAATCTGGGTTGATATCAGCTGAAGCTTGGCTCTTGGTGCGTACCTGGTTCAAAAATATTATTCTATTTCGAGCCGCTCCCACCCAGCAACCGATTCAAGAACTCGCCGGTGGAAGTAGTGGGTCAGATTACCCCCGCCGAGCCATATAAGAATAGAGAACCAACTATTTTTGAAATGGTGCTACGCATTCGGGATGATTACACCCCGTTGCTTTACCAGTTACTGACGATTGCGTAATTCGTTTGTCACGTGATACTCTAGGAATGTGTTACACGCGAACGAAAGCCCAGCTTTGAACCACGATTAAAAGAATATTTGAATATTCAAAGTTTCGCGTCCCCCGTCGACGATCTAACGCGTTGAAAAATATTTTTTTAAGAACGCACAGAAAGTTTCACACGTATCGATCTATCGTGACATATGCTCGCGAGGGCCCGTCAAACGCACATTCTCCATCGATCTACGAATTTTTCCTCGCGACACACAATACCGGGACGCGCGAAACCGTGCAGATTCACTCTTCACTATTGTTTGACAAACTGGCGGTTTCGAACTCTTTCGCTTCCTACTTCCGGCGCACAGGTAGGTTCGAGCACAAGCGAAATATTTCCTGTATTTTTTAGTTTTACTCACTTTCGACTTCCCTAGAGTTGAGGTCTGCCTGCAAGAAGGAAACGAACGATACTTTTAATGGAGATTCATCGACGGAATATTGAAATTTTAAACGAGAATTTGGAGTTACGGGAGAAGAGCGTGAGAATTATTAATAAATGAAAGAAGTTGGGATCTCGCAGTTCGAGTAGAGAGTGTCCAAAAGACTTACCATTGTAGTCTATAGTTGTGCGACTGAGTGTTAACTGAACGAAGCGTGGACCAGAAGTGCTACCGGTTGTTACCAAATTTATTCATTTTATTGCTGTAGATGGCGCGATGATCGGGACACACGAGAATTAAACAAGGAGGACTGGCAGTATCGGCAACGCCGCGATCCAAAAACAGTTCGAGGGGTAATCGCGGGTTAAGCTGTGCTTCCTACTACGATAAATGGTTTCCAACGATAGCGTTCGTGCGCCGGGGCTGCCAAATCTGCAACGCGGGCCGAACACATTAAACCAAAATATACTTCCATCGGCCTTCGACGTCCCTACATCCCGTTATGACTTTAACGCGTGCACTGCCACGGTGGTCACCGGTGAGCGGCACCTTACACCCACAGCCTATCTCAAAATCCGTAATACTTGTAAAATTCTGAGTAAATGTCATCGAAAATGCTACGAAATAACAGGTACAGCATTCAATTATCGAATATTTCTATTTTTTTACGGTTCAAGCCTGGACATGGAAAACTGACGTGTTAATATTGCCTAACTCTCATATCTCAAAGATTGCACAACCTTAAAGAAGTAAAATATAATTATTTCAAAGTTGCATACAGAGTGCATAAATATTTTTTCTCTAATTTTTAGAAATTGCACGTTGGAGAGCTTCGTGTCTGTGATAAACTATTTTTGTATAGTAAGAACATTTTTATTCTTCCCAAGATTTTTATTCGAAATGGTGACCTTAACCCTCTCTAACCCAGAGTAATTCTAAAATCACGTGCCCATTACCTAGTCTTTTCAAATCATCTATTTTATTCTGAATTTTCTGAAGCGTACGACCCAATCGGCTGCTCTAATCGCTCGTTTCGTGGGCTGAACCAGAAACTATCTCTAAAATCTCTTTCCTAATTCTAACACCATTCTTTTCATTACTCATGCCTATACGAAACACGTAATTCTCAGGGACTCTTTGTTTCAAATAAACTCATTTAATATAACGAATGTTAAAACAAATATACCGAAGCAGACCTCTAAGAACGTCGATCATGATACGCTAATGGTTAAAAAAAACCGCATTTTACCATAATAATAAAGACTCGTAATTATCAGAAAAGCCATTGTATTATAAAGAATTTTTCGAATACAAGTGTTCTTTGGCGCTGAGATAGAGTTTAGGGGGCCTGATACCATTGGTAACGCGCGGAATCCGTTTAAAGTCTCGTATATTTTCCCGAAAACTTGCACGAGAAGCCACGGCATCATCCACAACCCGACGACCGTAACGCGAAGTTATTTTTGTCAGCTTGTCACGGTCTAACGAGGCATTTCTTTCTTAAAAAGTGGGTCTGCGAATGGACATTAAGAAACAGTGCGTCGACTCCGTCCAAATGAAGAAGCGCGCGTCAGTTCTTTCGACGACCGAAAACCACCCGCATCATTTTTCGCATTCTGCTCAAGAAATGACTCTTCTTCCGGTTACGCGACCTCTTCGCGGTGCCGTAATTTTTGCTTTCGCCGCGCGCCATGCTCGACGAAGGACTCTTTCGATCGAAAAAGGACGACGGTGTTATCCCCTCGATGACTATATCCTCCAGGGAAACGTTCTTCGCGAAAGGCGACGGATATGCCAGGCACGAAGATGTTAATACCTCATCGTTCACGTTATTTTTAGAGCTACTTTCGGACGGCAAAGCAATGTTCCGATCGTGGTCAACGTTCTCGATGGTTCTTATCAAACGTTCCTCCGTTTCTTCCCAAACAGCGATACCCTCTTTGCAAATCGAATCGGATTCGTTCTCCGCTTTCGTTTCCAGTTCTTCTATCATTCGATGAAGCAGGCTGACGGACACCCCGGTTATTTCGTTCGAGTCGCAATTTTCCTTCTCTTGGCGAAGACGCGACGGTTCCGTCTCGATAACCGCGTTATGCGTTATTTGCTGCACGTCGCCTTGACCATGAGTGACGGACATCTCCTCGGATGTATTGTCGATATTGTACACGACGTATTTCACCTGTTCGACGTATCAAATATTTACGATATTCAAACGAAACGATTTCACTGGGCCTACGAAATTAATTCTCGATCGTTCGATGCTCTTAACCCCTTGCCATACAATAATGAGTCTGACTCGTTACAAGTTCTTGACGACATGTTTTACAATCATGAGGCTACTCGCTCGTAATCGAGTTTTATCTATTAAAATCAGCATTTATTTACATTCACAAGGTATTCGTAAAACAAATCTAGGAACATTCCTAGCAAACGGACCGTTCACCGATCGGGGTGAGTTATACGTCATTCGATTCGTCTGATTCAGTACATTATTAATATGCATTTCATTATTTGCGGAAATTCGTTATTTTTGTTTAAACTTGTCAGAAAGTTGCAGTAAAAACGTAATGTTAAGTATATTTTGACAGGTTCGCAGGTAGAAACAAATGACTATCGTTACTGTGCTCATGGTGTAAATTATAAATGCCAGGTAGTCAAATCCAAATTTGTTAAACATGCACGTATGCATAAAAGTCATTTTTTTATGCACATACTATGCAGGAGTAGGTCAGGTAGACAGTATGTGCAGCAACAGTACAAAATATTGCCCCCTCTCCCTCCCCTTGGCTCCTAACCTAACCCCGACCTAACTAAGCTACAGATGTCTTAAAATTAACATGTATGCTAACATACAATTATGAGCAATGTCATATTATTATATAATTAAAATTAAATGAAAATACTGTTTCATGATGGTCTTATTTTATAGGACAAATAATGGTCGATTGGATGTATAATTTCTGCACAGCAATTGGAAAGGTAGAGAAAATTGTCGAGATTGATGAATCAACATTTTGTCGTAGAAAATATCACAGAGGCCATTTGAAAATTAATCACAGCGTCAATTTTGAAGATCCCATTACTGATGCTTACACGAATTAAATTGAGTCCACTTGGAAGCATGCCACACATTCTCTAATCATTTTTATAATATATAATATTATCAATATTTTATATTTTCAAGAAAGGTAACTTCATTAGATACCTGAGCCATTACGTATTTAGTAAATGCACCTAACAGGAAAATGGGGATTTATTCAATGAAATATTAGCAGAAATAGCAGAAATTTCATTCAATACATGTTTAACAAATTAGCATTTGACTTCCTGGAATTTATAATTTACACCATGAACACAATAACGACAGTCGCTTGTTTCTACCTGTGAACCTGTCAAAATATACTTAACCTTACGTTTTTACTGCAACTTTCCGACAAATTTAAACAAAAATAGTGAATTTCCGCAAATAATGAAATGCATATTAATAATGTACTGAATTAAACGAATCGAATGACGTACAGTCAGTCGCGAAAGTCTTCGTACACCCCCTAAAATAGTAATTTTAAAGAAATTACAATTTCGTACAATATTATATTCATTTATTATTATGTATGATATTATTAATTAAACTATATAAAAATTTATTGTTTTTTTTTTAAGAATATTTTACACAATGAGGAAAAAACGAAATATGTATGTCACAAAATTGTTTGTAGACTAAAATACGAAGGTAGTAAATCTAATAAATCTAGTAAGTTTTTAATACATAATACCTGGGCTTCCCCGATAATGTTTTGTTTACATTATCATGACGTCGTGATTCACTTAAAAGATGTCTAACAATCATCTAGCGACAATGAGTGCTTTTAGGAGAGAAACAAGCGTTGAAATGCGAGAATTAATTATTAAATTGTATAAGGAGAAGAAATCTCTACATGAAATTGCTAACATTGTAGGCAAAAAACATTCTACTATTCAGTACATAATAAAAAAGTTCAAAATAATTGGTAAATATGATAATAAATCACGTAGTAGTCGTCCTAAAATCTTAAGTAATAGAGATGTTTGATCTGTACTGCAAATTATTCGCCAAGATCCAAAAGTAAGTGCTTCAAAAATAGCCGCAGAGGTAGAAAATGATTTTGGAAAAACAGTACACCCTGAAAATATTCAAAAAATTTTAAGAAAATCTGGGTATCGTGGTCACGTGCCGCGGAGGAACCCCTTAGTCAGTGATATCAGCCGTTCTAAGAGAATTGAATTCGCAAAAAAACATGAAAACGAGAATATACAATTTTGGGAAAGAGTATTATTCACTGACGAAAATAAATATAATATTTTTGGAGCAGATGGAAGAGGCAAAATATGGAGAAAAAGCGGCACAGTACTCGATTTGAAAAACTTGATACCAACTTTAAAACATGGTGGCGGATCCGTTATGGTTTGAGGCCCAAAAGCAACCTCAGGAGTTGGGAGTTTAGTATTTATAGATTCTATTATGGATCGATGGGTATAATTAGATGTACTTAAAACCCACTTAAAAGATGATGCGGCAAAATTGGGACTGGGAAACAACTGAATTTTCCAACAAGACCAAGATCCTAAGCATACAACTCATGTTATTCGGGAATGGATATTGTACAATGTCCTGAAACAACATTTTTCACTACCTCAATCACCAGATTTGAATGCTATAAAGCACGTATGGGATTATTTGGGACACAAAATCAGGAAGCATAAGATAACAAATAAACAAATTCTTAAAACTACATTGAAAGAGGAATGGAAAAAAATTTCTTCCTAAATTAGTCTATTCTATGCCAAGAAGATTAAAAGCTGTTTTAGAAGCAAAAGGAGGATGGACAAAATATTAATGTAACAAAAATTTACTAGATTTAGTAGATGTACTAACTTCATATTTTAGTGTACGAACACTTTTGTGACATACATATTTCGTTTTTTTCTTATTGCATAAAATATTCTTAAAAAATAATACATTTTTATATAGGCTAATTAATAATATTGTACATATTAATAAATAAACATAATATTGTATGAAATTGTTGCTTATTTTCTTTAAAACGACTGTTTTAGGGGGTGTGCAAAGACTTTCGTAACTGACTGTAATACTATCAATATTTTATATTTTCAAGAAGGGTAACTTCCTTGGATACCTCAACCATTACGTATTTAGTAAATGTACCTAAGAGGAAAATGGGGATTTATTCAATGAAATATTAGCAGAAATAGCAGAAATTTCATTCAATACATGTTTAACAAATTAGCATTTGACTTCATGGAATTTATAATTTACACCATGAATACAGTAACGACAGTCGCTTGTTTCTACCTGTGAATCTGTCAAAATATACTTAACCTTACGTTTTTACTACAACTTTCTGACAAGTTTAAACAAAAATAACGAATTTCCGCAAATAATGAAATGCATATTAATAATGTACTGAATCAGACGAATCGAATGACGTATAACTCACCCCGATGGGGTGAACGGTCCGTTTGCTAGGAATATACCCAAATCTATTCCTTCTTATGGCTACTTCTCGTACGAACAAATTTAAACAAAATTAAATAGTACACGTTTGAAAAATTATTTGAAATTAAATCATACGTCAAGGGGTTAATTTCTCCTTTGTCCGAAAGAAAAAACGTAGTATCATTTACGATTCACCTGTTTCTCTAGGTTGGACAAGAAGGACGGGACGGAAGTCGAATCTCCAATTTGCAAGTTTCGCAAACCGCACACCATTTTCTCTATGAGCTCCGTGGTTTCGGATTCGTTGTGATTTGTGCTCGGTTGCTCGTGAATTTGCATCGTCGACTGTGATCGAACGTCGGCCGATTTCTCTCGACCGTCCAGCGCTCGTAACTTTTCTGTCAACGGTTATATTCGTTGATTGGAATTTCGAAAAATGTACAATTCTCCCCGACGAACGCGTGGAATTTACGTACACAGATTTCGCGTTAAAAACTGTGAAAAAACATTCTGAAAATCGACAACATGCACTTTCCAAATACTAGATAAATCGTTGAAAATTTGATCGAATATATCTCGCATGAGAGAACATATAATTTACCATCGTTGGGATCCATGGTACCGAAAGCTTCCAGCAATATCTTATCGACTAGGCCTTTTGCAAACGCTTGAACCATTATTTGGGGCATTCTGATCTCGATAAGAACGTGAAACCGCAGCTGTCAGAACGCGTGTGACGATCGTCATCTTTTCTACGGGAATGGGAAATGCGCGAAGGCCCGACATTTGTCACGTATTTTGCGAATGTCTATTTTATTTCTAAATTGCATTCCGTGTAACGTTTCTTTCAAGCGAACCAAGAGTGAATTAAACCATGGAGCTAGTACGACATCGGTGTAGAATAATTGACGCTCGAAAGTGAGTGAAAATAATACAAATATTCGATTTACTTTGATAATAAATCCATTATTATTATCGTCTAAATTCCTACGAATCTCCGATAAATACAAGACATTTACGAAATCGTTATTTTCAGTCGCCAAGAATGGACGAAGACGAGTATATCGAAGTAACGATTACCGATTCATCAACGAAAATTCCAACCTCTAAAACTCTAAGCACGATTCGCGAATACGACAGCACGACATCCCGTTCGCCAGTACAAAATGTCGCTCGAGGAGACGCTGATAATTCCAAAAATTTTAAATCAAGTACCGAATGTCTCCCACACTCCAAACAGAGATTAAATTCGTTACGAGGCTCGTGCAAGCCGTTCGACGTCGATCTGCTTCTGAGGTACTACGCGTGCAATGCTAATATGGAGAAGTCTATTAAAAAAGTGTTCGGGGAACACGAAGAAATCAGGGACGAGAAATGTTTGAACTTTCTGGACGACTCTCTTGTCAATCTGGTTTCCAAAGATGTCGAGAAACGTCCGTTGGTCGAATTGGGTGCGGTTTACAAAATTTTCAATCTGTCCCGACAATCGTCCGACGATTCTCTGTTAGTCGCGTTTCGATTTCAAGAAACTTTTACCGAGTTGCAGTCTCTGATAGCTCGGTACAATGCTAAAGAATTGGAACGGATCCTCTCGAACGATCCTTCGGTGAGAATCTGTAAACATTGCGGGGTGATTAGTTGCGCCAAGTCTGGAAACGTCTCCGTCGAGACGCGACAATCGCCGCCCAGAGCTTCTTACTTTCTGAACGCGCGAACATTATCGAACGACGACAAACGCGTCTGGAAACGGAAACGGGAAACAGGAAAGATCGGTAATATCGGTAGTTCGAGAGAAGAAAAATCCCAGACAAACGCTCCTCAACGCGTGGAAATCATGGTAGCCGAGCGTGAAAATGTCAACGAGACTCCGAACGTTGGATCGTCTCGAAAACTCAAAAGGAAACACAATGATAAAACTACTGATTCTGATTTTCTGGTTAAAACCGATCTGCAACGTCCCAAATCGCGTAACGAACAAAAAGATCGTGAAACGTCCATCAAAAGTCGGCGAAACGAAGACGAATTCAACGAGAAAGTCATAAACGATATCTTGTACATAAAATCGAAATCGGAGCTGAGCAATTTTACCAAACAAAATCAGAACATTTCTTCGATCATCAATACGATGGCTCGTTTGAAGCAAGATTGCCTCGAATTAAAAGACACGCAACTCGTTCTGCATCCTGATCAGAACTATAATTCGCAATTAGATTCTTCGTTCACGATTTACGACGAGTCGAACCGTCCGAAAAGGGCCGCGAAGAATGTCTATAATTACGCGGAATGTCGTAAATGGATCGAGTACGCTAAAAATAATAAACAATCGAGCAACCTCGCGTGTCTGATGGAGAACGATTCGCTGGAGAACCTAACGAAAGCGTCCAGCTCGATGGTACGATCTGATCAAAGCAACACCACAGCCTGTAGTTCCTCGTCCGCGGAAAATCTGGTACACGAATGGAACGAAAGATCAATTGCTTGGAAACCTGTCGTGCAGAGCGATAGTTTGTACAAGAAAAACCAAACGAAACATCGTTCGCCGGCCAGACAGGTTTCCAGCGATGATTCGAAAACGAGAAACTCCGGAAAGGTCGAAGGTCTCGGTAGGAAGAGATTTAGCATAAAACGGCTGTTCGGGTCTCTAAGATCTCTTAAATCTACGAGATCCGTGAGATCCAATAATTTGAACGTCCATCCTTCGACTTCTTCCAACGATAACTCGTCGAATACTTTGAACAATATTGCACGGCGAATTAGTTACGACGAATCGTTGTTGAAAACAATGAACGACGGTGGATGCGACGGGACAGCGAATACATTGTTGCTTTACCGACGAATCCTCGAGAACACTGAAAAAATGGACTGGGATACTTTCCAACGTTTTATCGAGAACCTACACGCGAGTCAGAGAGACGTTTGGCAAAATATTTGCGACGCCATTAACAAAGAAGCGAGAAGGATAGCCGATAAAAGCGATGGGATCACGGAAGTGTGTATAGAAATTAGCTCAATTCCCCGTGACGGAACAAAGAACAGGGGAAGAACGTGCGGCGACGAGATCGTGTTCGAGATGGACATTGCGCTCAGAGACGTCGAGGGGTTTCTCGATAGGCAGCAGCTTTTTGCCGAGAAAGGCCATCTTGACACCCTCGAGAGAGCCAGCGAAGTTATTAGAGTTCGAAACGATGATGTTTGTAATATTGAAGTGGCCTCCAATCAAGCTGAATAGACAGTATTCGGCGCTTTCCATTTTTACCACAACGTAACTTTGGTTTTTTTTTTCCATTCGCTATACTCCGCTTGTGATCTACAGGAGTTTCCTCTTTGCATTCGAACTCTGTCTTTCTGTAATTTATCGAGGGATCAGCAAAAGATAATGTGTCGTTTCAATCGCGTTATTTTTAATAATAAAGTGTTTCCAGCGATAGATTTTTGGACAGTTTCTTTTCTGTTCTTGGCCATCGAATCAGGACCACTTGAGTGACCGATCTGCACCCTGTTCAATGAATGGGAAGAACAACGAGGGAGTGGTGATCGGTGGAAATATAACATTGATCGATTAAGATTAGACGATCGATAGCCAATAAGAAGAATGAACGTGTCTTGAGTAGATCGTGCCACGGACTTACATCACAGCTACTTTTTCTACTTTCTGTGTGGCAAAACGTGGCAACACTGCGTCTACAAGCATCGAGAGTCCGGTTTGACTCCCGACTCTTAAAAGTCGGATTCTCGAAATTTGTTCAATCTTGCGGCGATTAAAGCTAGTTTGAGAAGTCTATGCAAATATCTATACCAATTTTTTAAATAATTACGTACGAAGTAACATGGAAACGTTACAATTTTTTGTGAGTCCGGATTAGTTAGATATTTCCATAGTATTTTTAAAAAAACATGGTTCTTTTCGAACCTTCTCGCTAGTCCCAAAATTTGCATAACCGGGATCAGAATTAAAATAGAAAAGAATACAGGAATATAGCATACTGACGATTCCCCTAGAATTATCGATAATGAGCACATCGACTTTATTCGCCGACGGTAAAATGTCCCTGTTGTTACCACAGATGAGGTATATGCACAGACGAGATATATGAATAGACCTTTCACCACAGACGAGATATATGAATAGACCTTTCACCACAGACGAGATATATGAATAGACCTTTCACCTTATGGACTTTCGCGGCCGAATCTGACTGCCATACCGACCTGAAAATTCGGAGCTGATTTTAGCGGCCTCTTCTCATGGATGGCGGTTAGTTGAGAAACTAGGCACTGAATTAGTATTGATGGGCAGCCAGCTGAGTGTGTACGTAAATACATGTGAGTTGATTATGGGAGGGATTGGAAAAGACAGTGGAGTATTATCAGACGGCAGACCCGTGCCGAAAGGGAACTGCCCCACCACTCACACACACTAATGCCAACCACCTTGTATATGAGTTCTGGCGTTTCGTATAGCTTCGTAGATTCGAGAAAGGCGGCGAATGTCAGTCTATCCTTCTTGCTCTCAACACAGCTGAAATTCGATCTCGCATATTCTCGAGCCGAGATTCTCGACTGCCTAGGCATTTTTGACTTTCCGACCTGTGTAGGCATATACAATGTATAAGCAATATACCATAATGAAGAAAAAATTACAAAAATTTGTTTTTACGGAAATACACGTTTTAAAACGATAATATTTTATGAACATATTTTAACCCTTTGCACTCGGTTGTCCCCTCTGAGGGGACATGAAAGTTTATTAGTGATTAAGGAGAATGAACTGATTTCACCGCAATTTTGTAAGAAACACATATTTTCCTGTACTTTCCTATTAAAATGGGAAATATTCTATTAAAATGAGAAATATATCAGCCGTTTTTACGTTGGAAGTGGAAGGATTGTCGAGGATGGTCAGAGGCGTATGGTCGGATTCAAACACGTGGACAATAAACGTAACTATATAAACTATATTATTTAATGTTTACTAAAATTATTTAACATAAAGAACATAAAACGTAAACGTAAAAAACTATAAACGTAAAATCGAAACTTCATTCAAAGTCGAACCATTCCTATTGCTATCTTCGTTATAATCTAAATAAATTAACGTTCTTTGTCGGACAATAGAATGAATAATAAGCTACATATTCCAAATGTAGGCCAAAGAAACCGGGACTGCATTATTTGTTCCGACAGGAAAACACCAGGAGAAAGACGTCAAACAACATTTTATTGTGAAACATGTATAAATCAACCTGCTATGTATATTGGGAATTGTTTCAGAATTTACCATACCATAGAAAATTATGAGAAATAAATTTTTATTTTGTATTGTAAATATGTGTTCTTCAATGTCCATAAATACATATAAACCAAATTTCAACACAATGCCTTACTTGGTTCCAAAGTTGTACCATATAATATCACGACTCAAGGGTTTTTGTTTTCGCGAGAAAGTAGCGTCGAGTTGCTGATAGCTAACGTCCGAAAAGGTGTCGAGTGCAAAGGGTTAACTATTAAAAAAGACATTTTTATACTACGCTTATGGACGTGCGTTCATATATTTATACTATTAATACGATTGAGTCTAAACAACCAAATGAATTTCAATGTAATTTTACATTAAGTTTTGTGTTCTCATTTCAAGGTTTGATACACGTTATTTGTAAGAAATTTAAAAAATGTAAAGTAATAAAATTATAATTATAAAAAATGATTAGGTAATAACCAACAAATTAAAATTTATTTATTTATTTATTTATAAATGGGTTCAAAAGTCATACATGTACAAAAAAGAAGCGTGCATACAGACGAGCAACTTAATTAATTTAATTAATTAAGTTAAGTTAAGTTTATTAATTTATTTAATTTAATTTTGTTTCATTTCTTATATAATTCTGCCTAGTGTACAAACATTAAACAGTCTAGAAAACACTCATATATTGAAGAATTCATAAAAATTCAACGTGTAAGTTATTCCAATACGCAGAAAATGAGGAAAAAATCGGTTTTTATTTTTTTTCACTGCGGCGCACCAGAATGAAAAATCTGAAAAAAATTGAGAATAATAGTAACAGCAATACCTGTTTACTATAAAAGTATAAAAGTAGTTCCGGACCTTCTTCAATACGTAATCGGCATTTTTCGACATTTTTTACAGTTTTTTATTTTTTACTACCTAGTTCTTCAATCAAAAAATCTGAAAATCTCCCAAAATATGTGCCCCGGTACAAGAAATGTCTCTGTATTGTTTTACATTTTTTTACTTAATAGGTCAACAGAAATTGTACAAAAACATGATTTTCGTTTTCACGACATTATTACCCCCACGGTCGAGATTTCAAGTTAAAAATTTGCATACAGAGTTTGTTTTGGATAAGCTATCGAATGACGAGGGATGTGTCCGATATAAACATATGTATGTATATAATCAATTCATTTTCGGTAATTATTTAGGAAAGGTCGGGTCTCAAAGATTTCGATGATTTTTGAATATGTTGTAGAAATCAACATTTTGAGCAACTTTTTCCTATACATATAACCACCGCTCGGCCTTAGTTTCCGAGATTTTTCTTCACAAATATCGCTGTTACTACAATGAATTCTATCTACACTTACGTGCCTATTATATATATACGACTCGCCGATTGTTGACAAAAAATCTGCAGTATGTATACGACTCGCCGATTGTTTATTGTTTCTATAGATACATCGAGGCGGCCGGCAATGAATGCGTATAAAGCCGCGTCCCCACTGGGTCGGCTTTTGCCGTTCGGCACGGCCGATCGGCAAAAGCCGAGAATTGCGTCTACACTGCGTCCGCATCTGTCATCTAGCACGGCCGATCGGCACCCTAAGTACTTCTCGGCAAAGCCAAACACTGCATCGTCTTGGATAGCATGGCTTGAAAAGCCGACCGGCATGCCGACGAGTCGATCGGCACGATGTCGGTAACCATCAAAAGAGATCGTGCCAAGACACGAGAGCACGAAAGTTTCATGTCAATTTCGTTCCAAAACCATCATCGAGATACAAAGATACAGGAACTTTAAACGTTAATAACTTTTTAACAAAGCCTCCATCAACAAATTGGTATTCTTTCGCGATCGAACGGAAAATTTCACAGCGCGACGATTGCTACCTCCAGTTCTGAAAGGCCCAGGCAGGGCCATAAAGCCCCGTCTTGTAACCAAATATGGTCATAGGCGAAAGATTTTTTCCTCGTGCCCATATTTTTGCATAGTCGATGTTTCCGGAGCCCGTTTCTTCCTCCGATACGCGATTTTGGGGGTGTCAACCGAATTTGGTATTAACTTTTAGCTCGACCGATTGGTCATCGACTAAGGGAAGGAGGACCCATTTTCACACCCCGTTTGGGAGGAAAACTCTTTCCTCATACCTGAACGTGGTGGAGGAAGACTTCCAGGTCACCCCCAGAACGAGGGTGCCCGAGGTTTTCTCCCCAAGTCGAAGGCTACGTTAATTTATCGAAGAAAAAACGGGACTCCGGATTAGGACGCGACGAGTGGCCGCGCGTGTTTGACAGCTGTTTTATGGCTATACACAACGATTTGCAATTTTTTTTCTCCGTTGAAAAATTTAGACACCTAATTGGATTTTCAGTAAGGAATTTTTTTCTCGAAAGTGCGTACGATTTTGGAGGTATGTGTAATGATAAAAAATGATTGTAATTGATCCCCGCAACCGAAAATAATTTTTTTAGAACGATTTGAAAAATTTTTTTTCGCCGAAAAATTTCAGCACCTACTCGATTTTTTTTCTCGAAAGTAGATAGGATTTCGGAGGTATGTGTACTCACCAAAAATGATTGTAGTTGACCCCCGCAACCGAAAATAATTTTTCCAGAACGATTTGAAATTTTTGAATTTAATTGTTAATAACTTTTTAACAAAGCTTCCATCAACAAATTAGTATTCTTGATTTTCGTCTTATTTTGGCCTCTACTATCGCTCATTAAAATTTTTGCTAGAGGTGGCCGAACACCCTGTATATTCTTCTGCTACGTAAACTCGGACGCATCCAAAATCTTCGTTTTTTAGGCATTTTTTTTGCATTTGCTATTACTATAACTGCAGCAGCACCAGTTATTACTTCGTCGTCACTGTACATTTTTTGTGTACTGAAATGGCTTTGCCGCGGTGCATAGCAGTGGCACGGCCGTGCCGCCTTTTGCCGAACGCTGTGCCGATCGGCAAATGCCGAGCCGTGCCGACCCAGTGGGGACGCAGCTATCGGCAAATGCCGAGCCGTGCCGATCCAGTGGGGACGCAGCTTAACAGCTGTGCTTAAAAACTCGATTTGTGTAGCGGGCCGCCTAACGGCGGCCACGCATTCATTTTCTATTTCAATTTTCTTTATTGATATTATCAAAAGTGGGAAAGATTTCAGCCATTATTTCGACAAATTTAATTATTAGATCATTAGCATGATATTGTCGACGGAAGAAGAATTCACCTAAATAGCCTACATAATGTATTTGGCGAGTTCCATACTTCAGAATATTCGAACCTTTGACAACAATGCAGAACTAGATTTAGCTCGACACATTATACATTATTTGTCGTCGGTTGTCATGCCGACTAATACAAACAAGAGAAAAAGCAACGATCGTGGACTGATGCAATGCAGAGCCACAGATATGTACATATAGACAGAATTCATTGTAGTAGTAGCAATCTTTTTGAAGAAAAATCTCGGAAACTAAGGCCGAGCGGCGGTTATATGTATAGGAAAAAGTTGCTCAAAATGTTGATTTCTACAACATATTCAAAAATCATCGAAATCGGTGAGACCCGGCCTATTCTAAATAATTACCTCATTTTCTTTCAATAATTCTCCATTGCAAAAATTCTACAGTATTCTTACATTTTTTTATATTTTAAAATTTTCCCATGTTATTAGAAAGTAGATATACAACGAAAGTTATACAATTTATAGTTCCTAGCATGTATAACATGTATATGTATATAACGCATGGTCGCTTCGTATGGAAAGTCAATGAATCTTCAAAAAGCGCCCAGGTCCGATTTCGAGAAATGTAAGGTCTGTCAGTCACGATGGCTTTTGTCGTTTACTGACGATTCGAACGGTTGGCGATGCCAGATACGCAAATACGTTTCTGCCGAGTTATTTTTTTAATAAATGATGTATTACAATTTAAAATAAAAAACAGAGAATTTGCGGTGTACGTATCAATGAAATACATCCTTAGGTATTTTAATAATCTTGAAATTTTTAAATACTCTTAATCGATTGATTACTCCAATGAAATTAATCGATTAATGTCCAATGATGGACCGTACAGTTTTAATTCCGTTAAAAAATAATAAAATTTATGTAATTTTAATTTCTGTCTCACTTCCTCTTGGTTAATTTCTAAATCTGTTGATAACGTTACGAGTGACACGAAAATAGTAATGGGGTCCCGGAACACCAGAAACTCGGGCTGAAAAATTGCATTAGGTGAAAGGTCTATTCATATACCTCGTCTGTGTTCAAAGTAAACACGTTTCTAGATTTTTATATACATTTATCTTGTTCGCTCGATTCGTAAAATAAGAACTTTAGCCTTTCTCTCCCGACTCCCACGAAATTACTTCGGGTAGCTTCGGAGAATCGAAAAAGAGGGCATGTGTCAGTTTGCCTTTGTCGACTCTCCGAAACTCTACGAGCTCACGTACACGTGATCTAGCATAGTGTGAGAAAGTGGAATAAGGTGTCCCCGGTGCATTCGGGGCACCGTCTAGCATCTCTGCCTGGGAGTTCCGAATGATCATATACGTTTGGCAATGGCAACCCTATTTGGCATAAACCAGTCATATTTAACCAGGATGGACTAGAACTCGTTTTGTTTTGCTTATTAAATAGAATATCTCTATAAAATAATACATTTTTATATAGAATAATCAATATTATTAAATGTCAATGTTTGTTTCTTTTTTAAATAATCTTTTTAAAGGGTATACGACGACTTTCGTAACGGACTGTATATAGTTAGTAGATTGGTACTGTTACGCTATCGCGTGAATTCGAGTTTAGTACACAGCGCCGCGACAGAAATTTATTAGAATTGGATTAATCACCATCGAGTCCGCAATTCAAGCGAGCAAATTCAAACAAATTCGCGTATTATAATACATATTACTATTGTATGGAATTCAACGCGAGCAAATCAAGCCGGGAAAACCGAGTATTGTAAACTTTCTTAACGGCCGCGTTCAAGATCGGTGGGTTTACGATACAGACGTGACTTCTCCGCTATTTTTGAGGATTAAAATTTCGAGACCTTTTTATTTAGCAAAGTACATTACAGTCATTAAGGGAAACTCTAAACTCCACTCGAGACCTGGAATCTTTGAGCTCTTCCTCGCCTCAATAGCGATTGCCGTATCGTAAACCGCGTCCGCATACAGCTGCGGAACACCGGGGTCTTGGGGAGCCGACGACAGGCTTCCCCAAATTATTAATAAAAAAGCAGCGTTCTCGCTCACCCCTGCGTGGCCTACCTGGACGCTAGACAGCAGAGTGGGCGTAAATGTTACAAAATGTTAGGAACCGCCCTACCGAGAGTGACGATGTTGAGGATTGGCTTGACCAATCTCCCTCCGCTGAGCAACGTTCGTCGCTGTCACCTTGGTAGGGGCCACCGAGGGTTGCTTATGGTAAAATCAGAACTCGCAGGGCAGATCAACTCTCAGAGAGAGTACAGCAAACATCTAAAATACGGTCAAGTTGTCAATCTACGAAGTAAAGTAAAGGACAATGTTAAGTCATAGAGGGGTTTACTGACCCAAGAGCGTACAGCATATGCTATACACCGTTGGAAAGGTCTCGCCAAGGCGAATCGACTGATACCATTTTTAACTTCGATATCAGATGGGATAATGTCGAAAAATGGCCTCAAAGTTCGAGATTTTGCGGTTTTGAACAAAAGAAACCGGTAGTAAAAGCCCATCCGATCCGAGGGACCTCGGGTAGGCACCTGAGGAAAAACCGAGGGGTGTAAGCGATACTCTAGCAGATTGGGACGGCAAATGTGCCCCACCACCTTCATTTCAGTGCCGTGTTGGGCCTGCGTTTGCCGCATGGGCCCCGTTCCAAATGCCCACGGCGAAATCGCCAATGGATCAGTTGTTTTTCATGAACATAATATATTCATGGTATACAATTCGCAAGGTATAAGTTGGGAATGTGCAAGTTAGTATTCAGACTAATGCGTCACTTACAATAGTGAATGGAGTGACATTTTATTGATTGAACGAAACATAATGATGTGAATACTGAATACTAACCTGCACATTCCCAACTCATACCTGCGAATCGTCTATCATGAATATATTATGTTCATGAAAAACAACTGATCCATTGGCGATTTCGCCGTGGGCATTTGGAACGGGGCCCATGCGGCAAACGCAGGCCCAACACGGCACTGAAATAAAGGTGGTGGGGCACATTTGCCGTCCCAATCTGCTAGAGTATCGCTTACACCCCTCGGTTTTTCCTCAGGTGCCTACCCGAGGTCCCTCGGATCGGATGGGCTTTTACTACCGGTTTCTTTTGTTCAAAACCGCAAAATCTCGAACTTTGAGGCCATTTTTCGACATTATCCCATCTGATATCGAAGTTAAAAATGGTATCATTTCCAACGGTGTATAGCATATGCTGTACGCTCTTGGGTCAGTATGTTCGAAAATAGTTTGGCAAAATTTATTCGTCTTCGTCCCGACTTTTAGATACAACTTGGTTGACTTTCAAAATCGATCTGGTCCTCCGCGGAAATCTTCTCGTCGTCCTCGATGTTCATCCCTTCTCCGGAATATTCCTCGATCCTCCCTCTGGATTGTCCTGGTCCAATCGGGGTTTGTGCCTTGCCCCATCCGTCCGGATCGTCATCGATCGATGATCCACCCCCGAGCCGCGTGGAGGTGGAGGTTACGCGGCCATGTTGGAGCGGACGCGCGTGAGAGAGAGCGTGGGAGTCGAGAGAGAAAACGAGGCTAGCGGCCTAAGCAACCCTTAAGAAAATTTATGACCATTGTGAAAGTAAACGAAACTCGAAGCGAAGTGTCGCGAGGCCCTGCTGTGTGTCAAGACCATTGAAACTCTTAACGGAAATAGCTAATTTGGCACGGTCCGTAATAAACAAAAAGAAGGAACGACGGAAACTCCGATTTGTCGTGGTCTTTAGAAAATAAACTAAGTATCTGAAAAGAAGTGCCTTCCTTTCTCTCTACCTTCCCCAGCTTGATCGCCCACGTTGAAAAACATACAATCGTATTGTTTATTACAATACGCTGGTCCGTTTGGATTTCGCTCCTAACTAAAACGCAGTTACATGACTCTGCACTCGACGGTGAATAATCGGGTTACAATTAATTCCCGTTGTGGCGCTATGTGCATTAAACCTACGTTCACGTGATAGCGTAACAGTAGTGGCATCTCTGAGCTTGATAGTGCAATCAGTTGCAGTCATTTACAAATCATTTGATAACTGTCCAAAAGATCATATATATTTATTAATTAAAAAAAATAACATTTTCGTAGTTTTTGTGGACAACTTTAAATACACCGCCATTATTTTATAGTAAATGCACGGTGCCGATAAGAGATCGTCTTTCTTAGACGTTGTAGTCGGACTAAAGTCTATAGAACCGGTGAGAATTTCTTTAATTCCTGCGCGGAACAAGCAGTTGTTTCCTAGAGCGGCGTGACGATCTACTCCCTAGATCTGCATGTCACATGCCGAGACTGCGACGCCGCAAGTCTGTGGAATCGCGAGTTTTAACGTCATCGTAAAATGATGTGTTTTTAATCGAGTTTCGGTCTCAATTATGAGATCGTTTTAAATTGAAGGAAAGCAGGAGGAGCGATTTTACTATTAATTTCTTGCACCGGATCATTAATAATATTTAGCGATATGGTCGTTACGAAGTCAGCGCTGCTTGACCTCCCATCCGATGAAGAGCTAACAGTTCAGGAAATAAATGTTAGTTGGCCACTTTTACAGGCCGCTTCTGTCTATGTTGGAAAGAAATGTGAACGAGAAAGTCTTGTAAGTTGATTTTTTCGGCTGGCTCTACTTTCTTTCGGTTCAGCCGATTCAAACTTTCGCTTCTGATTTTATTCTTGAATTTCGATTCTAAATGTTACATAACATTGTCAAAGCTTACGAATTGATTGCAGAAAAATTATGTTACAAACTTATCTAACCGTAATCATTGTTTCGTCGATACGGATGTTGAATTCGGAATCGACATATTTCTTCTATGCAATAACATTATATCCACAGACCTTTACCTTTAGGAGTTTACTCTATGTAAACAAGAATTGGACGATCCCAGAAAATGTTACAAAGATGGACGGAAATTAACTGCCTGTGCATTAGAAGTATTTCAAGACATCAAGAAACATTGTGCTGATGATTTTAATCGCTATGTAAGATGTCTTGAGTGTTCTTCTGGTTCCTTCGAACTCTCCAAGTATGTTCTTATAGTGAATTTTATAGTATTTTAGCATATGCAATATTGTATTGTCTTTAAATATTATATTCGTAATATTTTGTACTTGTTACTATAGAGCATATTCATGTTATTTATGACTTCTTATATAGAAGATATTTGACCATCCCTGAGAAAAATTTTAATGGGAGATTCTAGAGGCCAAAATAAGACGAAAATCAAGAATACCAATTTGTTGATTGAGGCTTCGTTAAAAAGTTATTAACGTTTTAAGTTCCGCCTGTAGAATAGCAATTTGCGTGCATGCGATGGTGGTTCTCACTCAGCATGAGAAACTCTACTTAGTGACATATCGACAACCTCATAGTTTTGTGAGTGACCTGTGACTTGTGAGTACCACTAACACACGTTTGAGATTGCCGTTCTACAAGCGGAACGTAAATCGTTAATATCTTTTTAACAAAGCCTCAATCAACAAATTGGTATTCTTGATTTTCATCTTATTTTGGCCTCTAGAATCTCCCATTAAAATTTTTCCCAGGGGTAGCCAGACACCCTGTATAACAAATATTAAATTTTGCAAGAGATTTCAATATAGTGGAACTTATAATCATTCACGATTTGAATATATGATTAGGTGTCGAGAAACGCAAGTCAAGTTTGATAAATGCATGTTGGAAAATTTGAAAATAGAGCGGCCTCCTTTTGGATACTTTTGTGAGGCCAAAGTACACGATTCACCAAGACCACCAGGGCCACCGAAGTACGAAAACAAAGACTACCCAGATGCTACTTCACCTAAAGTAGTACAACCTCCATATCGTCCATCCAAATTTGGAATGCGCACATGGTGGTCTAACTAGTCATCACTGCCTAGTGCAAATTTGTTTCTATAGTTGACACAATGTGTACTGGAGTTTGAAAGAATGAGAATTGTTGCTACATTTGCACTTGTTCCATATAAAATTGGGAACGAATACGAATGAGTGTAATTTATGTAATGAAAATTGTAGATTATAAAGAGAAAATAAATATAACTGTTTGACAGGTATAAGGTTTGTTTTACTGAGTTCAGAGACGAAAAATGTATATTTATGAAAACAATTTTTGTTCAGTCAATTGGATAATCATCCAGGAATGTGATCTTAATTTCAGAGTTTAACGAACATTATTTTTCATTAATTATAATTTTCGAATGTTATTTCTTAATTTAGACTAGACGAAAATGAACTATATTCGTAAATATCAGCACTGTCGCATTCTTTTTATTGACAGAATATTCCTTTACCGTCGCGCGATAAAGAAATTAGAAGACAACATCAATTAGCAACTTGTTTTGTCTCCGTATATGCTTCAAGTTGAAACAATTCAGCGTGAAACCATTTGTGATCCAGCGAATTCGACCCTCAGTTCTTCGGTTATTAGCCGTGAGCAAAGCACACAAAATGCAGAGTTAATCAGATAAATCATTCTCGGACTGATCTTTATCTTCCTTCGCGTTTTCCATTTCTAAATTTTACACTAAAAGAAACTAACGCGAATGGAATCGGCAAGGAAGCAAAATTAGTCCAAAAATTATATCTGTTATCCAACTATGCATGTGTGATACAATATAAACATTATGTACATAGTGGTAGAATATAGATTGTTCGTGCAGTCGTTAGTACTATCACTGTTTGGAAACAGTTATTTCAATAGAATTGTAGTTTTGAAACAATTAAACGAGTCTCGAACAGTCTTTAAAATATCCTTGGAAGAGAGACAACTTGCATCGATTAAAAATAATCAATATTCTGTTTAAAACTAAATATAATGGAAGAAAAGGGCAAGAACGATCGCTTAAATCTAACTGCACGAGTAATCCAAATTCCTTTTGTCAGTCCTTTTGCATCTCGATGTACAGTGCTACGCAAGTACGATGTCTCTAGTTTCTTGGCTTCCCTAACACGAAAGATGTGGTTTAATATAGTCTATGATCCGACGAACAGATTTTTAGGAACGTCACACCTGCGTAACGCCGTGTATACAAACAATGGGTACGATTTTTGAGGCACTATGCAAATCTCACATCACGTAACAATTCACGTTCCAAGTTTCGCTCATGAATTTTCTACAAGAAAAATTACAAGCAGCCGTTAGCATTTGATTGATTTATCAATTCACGTTTCATCGTGGATTGCAACCGAGGAAGTAAACGCGGAATACTTGTAATCGATAAACGTTCTTGGGCACGCGTGCGCGTGTAGTCAAAAATATTCACTCAGTTTCGACGAACATCATGGAAGCAATTAACTCGTACGATCTAACAAATTCCTAATAAGGTAAAATCTTCTGTTAGCTCCAAGTGATATCGTAACCATTCCAATTTGCACTTGGTGCTAAATGTACTCTTCTTCCTTTGTAGAAAAACGTAACTACACCACGGTATCCGGTTCTGGGTACGCCACTCTAAAGACAACAAAACAGTATTTTATATAGTTTCAAACTTCTAATAATAATAATCCTAACAACTAAAATAACTAAAATTGAAATTTGTTTTAGACGAGAAATTGACTCTCCGAAGGAATATGTAATCGAATCATCTTTACCACTGCACTGCTAATAAATTAATTTAATTTAATAAGATTAATAATTACCCTAAAGTCATCCATCAATCCAAATTGTTTTGCAGTGTTTTTATACGCTTGGCGATTGTAATACGGTATTCGCACTGCGCCTGGTGCCACTACTTTCTCGTTCTTCAATTCCGAAAAACTGACCACCGTTGATTGATACACGTCATTGACAAAATTTATGTCGTAATTATCCTGTAGAAGTTTTTTATATTAAAATTAATTCGGACACATCAATCCCTTAGCACAGTATCAGTAGTACATTAGTGGGGTTTTTCTTACTTTTAACAAGTATGTCAAGTTCATCTTAGTGAAATGCACATATTCAGTGTTCAACTTAATATATTTTAAATGCCTTTCATAGAACATTCCACTGTAAATGAGAAAATAGTGAAACTTAAATATGTCGTTTTATCTGTTGTTCGAATCGATAGATTAGTATAATGATTATTTTTAGCGTTGCACATGTTTCATGAAATTCAAATACGTACTTGCTTACGCCAGTTTTACCGAATGTTCGTGTTCTGGATATTTCCGGTCGAATACAGGCTCTGTTTCGACGTTGTTCGGGTTGTCTTATCCAATCATCCCAGTATCTATTACATTTTTTTTTAAATTACAAACTAAAGTTTAAAAGCTTTTTATTAATATTACGATATCTCAGAAAATATTGCATATTGTTAAAAGCAATTAAACTCTTTTACAAAATTATTCTTATTCTTTCAAAGAAAAACCCATGCACATCTACCTTCCGCTCAAAAAGTGCGCTATTTATTGGAAAAGGCAATTCAAACTTTAAAGTATACGCTAGGTGAATTATTATTTTGTTTCCGAAACAAAATTGCAAAATACGAACTATTTATTAATTAGGGTACGAATACTTATGGATGTGCAATATTTTCTGTCGCCCTAAAAAATAAACCTTGTATTTACGATTTGGGCCATTTCGGCGAAAGTTCCGCCCACAACTGACGTGTCAACATCCAACCTAATCCAGGAAAAAAGTCTGTCCTGTACAATACATCTGCTGCATTCTGGTCAACCAAACCAGCTTTCCCGTTGTCATTCCACGCAGACACGCACCACAGAGAATTATCAGACACTAATAAAGGATATGTGCCCAGAAAGTATTCAAAAAAATCCGGGGCTATATCCAAATCATCTAGACAAAAACAAATTTATTTCAAATACAAAATGGTTTAATATGTTTAAAAGCGATGATAATGGAATCATGAAATGTACCTTCGACTATTATCACAGTATCGTATCCAAGTTGAAAGAAGACGTGATTGAGAGCCCACCCGTAATGGCGTGCAATTTTGAAATATCCTTTAAACTTCTTCTCCTTTGGTGGCACTTCAACGTCCGATTGATCCGGTTGCTAACCACATTTGTTTTTATCTTTATTAATTTACTCCAAGGCCAAAACTAATAAGAAATAGTACGGATCAGTGATTCTTAATCTTTTTTCCCATGGACCCCGTTTGATACTCTAATGGCATTCATGGGCCCTTTCTGCGTAATGTTCTTCAAAATAACGTTTTTAAATATTAGCTAAATTAAGGTTAAAATTCCTACCTTGGTTAGATATAATCAACGAGTTCAGTCTTAACTGAGTCAGCATCTTTGATAAAATATCTAATATGATAACTATCATAACATTAAAGCATCGGAGAAACAAAGTTGGTATTTTTAGGCATAAATGTCCAACAAAAAAGAAATTAATTTTAAATTCCTATGTGCAAGTTCGTAGATACCCAGATATCTAGCCATAGCTCTCCCTTCGAGTCCATGAACTACAGATTAAGAACCACTAATATGGATGATGTTATACTTGTATGTGTATTATTTGATTTCCGTATCTGGAAATAACATCAGCAGTCTGACGATGTTGGCAATCCTCCGAGACGATAATTGGAAATTGATCTGTGCTAGGTCTGTAGTTTATTAATTGATCGAGGCATCTTTGTACGGTAACACGATTGCAAGAGAACACCAAAACTGGTATTATGGGAGATCCGTCCGATAGTTTTCCTTTTATAGGAATATCGTGAGAGATTTCGCTCTAAACAAATAAAAAATTTAGAAATCGTAAACATTTTAAGTGTTCGTTTTGAGTTATTATGAAGAGCCTGTAATACTTTACAGAATGTGTTAATTCCGCTTGCGAAGGCTGTATACTTTTTATGTCATTTTCTATATCCTTTTCCTTTTTCTCAGGAAGAATTTTATTCTGGTCGACAAGATTTGCATTCTTCTGCTTTTCGTCTGCATTCAAATTTGCAGTGTCTAATTTCTCTGTTCATAAAAAGAAAATCTTTGAAACACTATTTAAATAATCGTGTATAGTTCTAAATTTTAACATTGCAAAAACATACTTTTACGTTGCTTGTCTTCTTTAATATCCTGCAGAAGTTCCTGATTCAAAGCTATTTCCTGCTTTACTCTCTTCTCCAATTTGCTGATTTGATTGGACACTCTTGCCTACAATCATTAGTAAGTTATTGTCACGATGAACTTTTATTTCACAAAACCTTTAAAATGTATGAATTACTGTACTTACTGTGTCCTGTTCCTTGTTTGCCGGCTGATCAGAAATCAAAAAATATGTAATCAAACCCCACAGGACCAAAGAGCCAAAAATAACACTGATTGACCTGTTCCGCATGGCAGAACCAGGTGTCACCTCATCTGGAACGTACAATATGTAAAATTTTGAAACAAATCAATGACAATTTTCAATTTAGTTAAAGGAATTTCTGGATAATAAAGGAACGTATTTTGCCGCTTGTTGAGTTTCAAATTAGAGTCAGTTTTTAAAATGCTAGAAACTGTTGCCACATGAGTGAAAATGAAAAAGATGTTAACAATTAAGATTGATAGACTAAACAGCACCAAAATGTTTCACAAATTTGCTGAAATATCATTAAAAAATATTTTACAACATTATAGCTTTTACATGCATTCAATTAATCGAACAATCTGCTTCTGTATACGCGGAAGAGTCTGTGGAATTTTTCTATTTATCATGTCAGAGGTTACGTACCATTATGAGATCCACGTAACCCGCCGCTCGAGCGTCGTTACACGAGGACGTACATTATTGTATACGTAAGCGACAATCGATTCACGATCCTGCTATCCCTCAATCAACGATTTAGAAAATAAAAGAGTACACGTGTCTCGGACTTAACAGCTTGTCGAAACGATTCTAAACTAAATCATAAAGTTTCGCACGTTGACAGTGCGTCGTATACTCCATTGTTTAAGCTACGCGGTGGACGCGGAAAAAATCTGTCCGAGAGGGAAAGCATTGCTTTTCCTTGTGAAAATATTCACAGATCCTTGATCTCGACCGTGCAAGGAGTAGTGGAACTCACATTCGGCGACACCTACTTAATTAACTATGAGCAACCACAGACCAGGAACAGAATAGATGTTTCATCGTTGACGAGTTGCAGTCATGGTCTGTTGCTGCCATAAGGCCACAGGTAAATTATGCTACAAATTATACTAATCATACTACAGCTAGGCAAAATTCTTATCTATAGCACTAACAAAGTATAGAACAGACTCAATGTCCAATGCATTTTTCTATCCACGGTTTATGAGTTCCTAGAACTGTTTAGGACCCATTACCACAGACGAGGTATACGAGTAGACCTTTCACCTTATGGACTTTCGTGGCCCAATCTGACTGCCATACCGACCTGAAAATTCGGAGGTGATTTTAGCGTCCTCTTCTCATAGATCGCGGTCAGTTGAGAAACTATTCACTGAATTAGTATTGATAGACAAATAGCTGTAGTATATGCGTAAATACATGTGAGTTGACTATGGAAGGGATAAAAATTAATTTCTGAATCTGTTGGCAACGTTGCGAATGACACGAAAATGGTAATGGGGTTTCGAGACCCCATAAAAATGGGCCGAAAAAATATATTGGGTGAAAGATCTACTCGTATACCTTGTCCCTGACAATACTCCAGAATCTTTGATGAATCAATGAGAATTAAAACTAACCTAGCGAGGAAGCTCTATATTTATGATGACCTATGCAAATATTATTTAGTTTTTAATTAATAATTGCATTGCCCAACTAAGAGTGATACGATTATTAATTAAACGCTAAATAATATTACCCAGGTTTCACCACGTGGAGGTTGCTGTGAGTGGAGACCCAAAGGGAGATAGATGGAATCCAAGTTCCATCGATCTCCCTGTCGCAATTTTATAATCTGAATAACTAAACTAAGAAAATAGAAGGAACCAAAGTCCCTTCGATCTTCTAGTTTAGTTGTGCCAAGTAATTATTTAGTTTAAACGAGGGGTGAAGCCAAATTCTGAGAGAGTCAACGCGATGTGATGTTGAACCGTGCAGCAGATCTACGGATCGAATCGACACTGCCCTTGGTAGATTGATTTCTATTTCTAGAAATGGGCAGGCGACTAGATCTTCAGACGAACTGGACGGTCGATCACACGTTTCGTTCGACGAAACAGCGGTGATCGAAACGAGAAACGAGGGAAACGAGTGAACGAGAAGTTAGTTGGTAAACAATTGCTTGGCATATACGCAGATACACTAGAGACTTAAAATTAACGTCGAAGTTTGAGCTAGCGGAGTTGGAACTAAAATTCAGAAGATAAGAGAAAACGAGGCTCTTTCTATCTTCTAAATTAGTGGTACCAAGCAATTATCTCGTTTAAAAAGGGATGAAGCTAAATCGTGAGATACGCGACGCGACGCGATGCTGAACCATGCAGCAGATCTTAGGATCGAACCTATTGCCCTTGATATCTCGAGCTACCAAGGGAATGCGATTAGATCTTTTGGACCAACTACTTGGCCGATCGCATATTTCGTTCGACGAAACAGCGGTGATCGTAGCAAGAATCGAGATACGCGAACCGAATAGCGAGTCCAAAGGGTCAGCTCCGTTGCCTCTTAGCAAGTTTGATCGAAGGGGAAGTGAATCGACGCGCCCGACACAGAGGTTCCCCATTTCCCCCAAGCATCCTGTTGGGAGCCAACTGGATTCAACTCAGGATGATTAACAGAGAGAGGGAGCGTGTGTCGGGACTACCGCAGACAAGAACAGTCCGTGATCTCCTCTGCGGCCGAAATACCCTTTCCTTTGGATCGTCTCGCCAGTGGACGGCAACTGACCCTTCGGACCAACTAAACGGCCGATCACTTGTTTTCTACATTAAAGCAGTGGTGATCGAAACGAGAAACGAGAGGACGAAAGAAAGTGAAGCTACTTGGTCAATAATTACTTGGTAGGGCGCGGAGACACGGACAATAGAGAAATCTTCGACGTTAATTTTAATATTCGCGACGAAGCTTAAGACTACTAGGAATTAAAGGTCCCTCGGCGGATGAATCCCTCTGTGGTTGAATCCCTTAATGGGATTACAATTTAAAATAAAAAATAGAGGATTTGCGGTGTACGTATCAATGAGATACATCCTTAGGTATTTTAATAATTTCGAAATTTTTAAATAATCTTAATCGATTGATTACTCCAATGAAATTAATCGATTAATGTTCTGTGGCGACCAGAGCACCACATACGCCTTAGCTTTTTGAAGCTCACCGCATTGTATGGGCGCACACGCGGCGACCAGAACTGCGCGAGCCGAAAGGCCTGTTGTCATCGCCTCTTATCTTTTGTATTCCTCTTAGGGTCTCGCCTGGGCCTGGGTAGCTTCGGCTCTCAGGTTCTGGCAGACCGTTTCAGTGATTTGTTTATAACGTTATCTTCTTTCGCTATCCCTGCCTATTCTACAAATAATATTTTGACTTTCTCCTTTTTCTACCGACTTTTCTCTCTTTTTTCGAATGCCTCTTTGTACGGTGACGATGATCGAGCGCGATCATTGGTCGAGCATAACCCGCACTACGGGTCACGTCGTTGTACGACCACGAATAATAAAAATGTGAGGAACGGAATCGACGGAGTTGCACGGTGTTTATTACCTTTCCGATTACACAGTTTAATGATAGACCGTACAGCTTTCATTCCGTTAAAAAATAATAAAATTTCTGTAATTTCATTTTCTGTCTCATTTCCTCTTGTGTTCATTTCTAAACTGTTGGTAACGTTGCGAGTGACACGGAAATGGTAATGGGCTCTAGAACACCAGAGAAACGGGCCGAAAAAATACATTAGGTGAAAGGTCTACTCGTAACCTTGTCTGTGCCATCCAACAAAGTCTCGAAACAGATCGTAACGCTATGCACGGTAGGAATTACAATTTAAGTCGAACATGATTGGTACTTGTGCCGACCATTTTGAAAGTAGTGTAAATAATGATGGCCTATTTGAATTTTAGTTTCAAAATGGTTCGAAGTTTTTAAGACTATGAAGATTTGAGTATGAACCGAAATTTAGAATTCTTGAAAGTTTCGATTCTATTATACAACGACACTGCTATCGTAATTCTTTACAAGATATCTACAATTTGAACGTGTCTTCAAAAATATTTGAAATTATGACAAACATAAATGTTTATTCGAATAATTCCAATGTAGAAAACCTATATCTCGATATTTTTTAACTTTTTGTTTTGTATTGTTTCGTACTTATGGAGCTTATATTATTTATTTTGTATTTATATAATTTATTTCCTCAAATACATTTTAATTTGTAATACGATCACCAACATCCTGTTTATTTAATTGATAACCTCTCTATGTCTAATAATTTTAAGGTTATAGTTTGACTTTTTTTATATTGTTTGGCTTTTATATTGTTTTTTATATTGTTTGGCTATAAAATTTAGCTTTAACCCTTAATTGATAACATGGGGTACTTTGACACCCTAGCAACTACATTTATTTCAATTATAACCAATATTATAAAGTAGTTCGATCTGTTCACCGCTAGATGGTTATACCATTTTTCTATCTGTTTTCTTTGCAAATAAATAATTAATTTAGAGATTAAACTATTTTTTATTGAGCATGTATCTGCGCGTTTTAAAAATGAATTCTGATACGTGTAATCTACATGTACCACGAAATAATAACTGTTAAAATCAATAAAAAGAAATGGTTTTATGTGTTATCGAACAAAATTTTTGAGCAAATATAACTATGCGAATTATGGCAAGTATGAAATCATACTAACTTCATACATAGTTACGCGTCAGCTTAATAATCCATGCACGTTGTACACATGCATTGTTTTGTACATAATCTAGGTATGCAAGTCAGTATCTTAAGACCCGAAATAATGCCCTTGTATATCGATTGACAAGTTGTCATTCGTGTCAGCTGAGGTTTCATGGAACATCGTTTACGAACGTTATAATTAATAAAAAGGAACATGTAAATTTAAAAACACGAAATATAGTTGTTGCTCGCGACCACAATTCCTATTTTTGTCATCTTCGATTATGCGACGTATATTAAATTCTATCGTTTATTTATATATCCTGGTTTCTTTTTAATTCTGATAAAAAGAAAACTGTAGCTATGACAGAGGACGTGAATCGACTAAGCAGATATTTTAGACAATTGCTAAAACCAACAACGAAATCGAACGTGAGCAAAGAATTCGAAGTATTTCGTCTTAAAAATAAAGGCATTGAAAAATAACAGAGGTATTCCAATCTTTGAATATATTTTTTTCAGATGCTAGAATGTAGAGTTTGTGACGAGGTATTTACGATTGACGGAGTGAATGTTCCAAGATTGTTACACTGTGGTCATACAGTGTGTCATTCTTGTTTATTAAGAATAAGACCATGCATGACGGATCAGCAATTTTTACTTTGCCCCTTCGATAGACAGCCGACAGGCATCAGTGAAAATCATGTTTACAGTTTGAAAAAGAATTTTGCTTTGATTGAATTACTAGAAAGGTTGGAGCAATCAAACGGTGAGAAAACATTGATACTTGAAAAGGAAAGACTTCAATCTAATCAAACTTGCGACGAAGACGAAGCACATATTGCTGTATTGTATTGCACTGTTTGCTCTACTCATTTATGCGAAAATTGTGATAGTACAATTCACTCTTCAAAGACACTCAGTAAGCACAGACGAGTGCCTTTGTCAGAAAAACCAAAGGATAAACCAAAATGTCCAGTTCACACAATGCATGTAGCAGAATTTACTTGCACGCAGGAAGGTTGTCACAATTCGCTTATGTGTTATTTATGTAAGGACTATGGCAGACATAGTACGCATAAGGTAACATGCTCAACCTATTGACTATCAATCAATATCCTAACTTTTGTTCAAATTATAGCTAGCATTGGTGGAAGTCGAGGCAGAAAATATTAGAAAGTCTATCGTTACTGCTCTGCAAAAAATGACACAATTTATAGAGAGTATGAGAGACACAGCTCAAAGAATAGGTATGTTATTTTAATTCCTATTTGCTATAAACTCAGTCACATTAACTGAATTTTTATGCTTATATTGTTTTCTGATTTCTTATTGACAATAAGTAGTATCCAATTTATAACTGACATACAGAATTATCAACTTAATTGCAAACAAAGAATGAACAATTAAATCAACAGAAATTAATAATTACAATTACACTACTCCTGTTTAGAGACAGTAATATTATTATTGGAAGGATGGGTATTGGACGATGCAAGACAACAAGTTCATCAACATTTCGAGGAATTACGAGCCTCGTTGGCGGAACAAGAAAATGCGGCCATCACCTGTATTGAAACGGAAACTCATGGAAGACTATGCGCTCTGAGACAGCAACAACAGGATCTTACCACCACGAGATCTCAGGTGGCCGACGTGTGCATTCAATGTGAAAGCATGTTAGATTTAGAAAATTGGAAACTACTACGCAGTGCAACAAGCGTTCAGGAAGTTTTAACTATGTTGGAACAACGGCAACAATACTATGCTCAATTGGGTCCTGATTTTCTCACGCCTCAAGCTTCTATTCCCATAATATTTAGCAAGGTATATTTTCATAATTTCTATCTTTAAAATTAATCTATGATCCTGTACGTGTTCGAAAATACACGTGTACATATACAGCCACGATAGTCATAAAAAGTACAAATAGATGATGATAATGCCTTTTGTTGAGAAAAAGTAAAAAATTACGAAACACTAACAAGTCTATTACCTTGAAAATCAAAGGCATGTAACAAATGATTAACTTATAAAAATAACAGCGTATGTTGAAATACGCTCAAACTTAAATACATAAGTAAACGCGAAATAAGAGGCTCTATTTGAAATTCAAGAGTATTTGAATTCAGACATTAAGTATTCGAGGAATTTTGACAATGCATTGCATATTAAAAGATTCAAAATTAAGTAATTGAAGCATTTTGAACCTCTGTTGGATTTTTTCGTTACAGTTTATACAAGATTTATTAGCTATAAGCGACAAAATTCACGAATCTTAATACTAATTTCTACCTTTCTCTTACTTTTTTTTTTAACGATTCAAATAATTGAATTATGAAAATTTTTTGCGGTTCTTGTTTCATCTGATAAAATTATTACCACCTTAGGATAATAGGGTATATATTGGCACAAAAATCGACATGCGTGTGGTGATATTGGGATTGGACGGTGCTGGTAAAACGAGCATATTATCAGCGATGAGAGGAATTACGCTTTCCGGTCCGCCAATACCGACTATAGGATTCAACGTCGAGAGTCTAGAATACAAAAATCTGGCGTTTACATTGTGGGACGTTGGCGGTCAACAAAAATTCAGGCCACTATGGAAACACTACTATCAAAATACGCAGGCTGTTATCTTTGTTGTCGATGCCAGTGAGAGATCCCGATTTGAAGAGGCGCAAAATGAATTGTCGAAAATCGTCAACGAACGCGAACTTAAGGATGCTTTGTTTTTAATCTACGCTAATAAACAGGTGAGACAGTGATGTAATTGCATTATTCTATTTTAAGAAATAATTTTTATAATATTAATTATTTGTTATAATATAATCGATAATTTAACTGATATTTCACATTTGCATTAATACTATTCTCGAATAATAAGTTCATTTTTATTCTTTGCTTTCTTTCATTTCGTTTGTCGTTAAATTAAGGTTAATGCAAAACATTAACTACCTATTATAAGAATTTTATGTTTTAAAAAATAAACTATTTCTAGGTTATTTATACAGGGTGTTCGGCCACCCCTGGGAAAAATTTTAATGGGAGATTCTAGAAGCCAAAATAAGACGAAAATCAAGAATACCAATTTGTTGATGGAGGCTTTGTTAAAAAGTTATTAACGTTTAAAGTTCTGCCCGTACTGAATTTTTTTCTCGAAAATGCGCAGGATTTCGGAGATATGTCTATTCACCAAAAATTATTGTAATTGACCCCCGCAATTGAAAATAATTTTTCCAGAACGATTAGAAATTTTTTTTTGGCCGAAAAATTTAGGCACCAAACCCTGTCGATTTTTCTTAAAAATTCGTTTTTCATTTTTAGTAATTTTGTTTGACGCCCTACAGAAAAGTTATTTAATACTTCTTTGTAGGTATCCATGAGCTCTACTTTAGAAAAAAGTTTCATTGAAATATATTCACTATTGTAGGAGTTATGGCTGTTTGAATATTGGGCCATTTTTGGGGGGGTTTTCCTACTTTACGGGGTCAAGAAACAACTTTTCCAATATTTTTGGAATTTCTGCATATTCTCCATTAAAATACGCGTTGTTTGCCTTTTTAAACATTAAAATCCTCGAATTCGTTCAAAAGTTATGATGTTTTAAAGATTCGCATGAAAATTCGGACAAACATTTTCTGGCCTCACATTAGATTTTCGGTAAGGAATTTTGCTCTCGAAAATGCGTAGGATTTCGGGGGTATGTGTAATGACCAGAAATGATTGTAATCGACCCCTGCAACTGAAAATAATTTTTTTAGAACGATTTGAAATTTTTTAATTTAATTGTTAATAACTTTTTAACGAAGCCTCCATCAACAAATTGGTATTCTTGATTTTCGTCTTATTTTGGCCTCTAGAATTCCCCATTAAAATTTTTCCCAGGGGTGGCCGAACATCCTGTATATGTATATTTATGAATTAATTAATAATAAATCTGCAAAGCTATTAAATGTCTCCATAAAAAGACGATGCTAATCGATGAACACTACAAGAAATTTTAATTACGTTTTCGAAAGGTTATTTATGTAATAGAGAGTAAAAAAAGGCTGCCTCAATCATTATTTAGTTTCAAAGAAATAAATATTTTCACTTATAAATCACATCACTACAATTAAAGGATGGAAATATTGTAAATTTTTAAGAAAATTTGCTTAACTCTACCGCGATGGAATCAATGTTATCGACTGATCCTTTTAAAATAATTAATCGACTGCGTGATATGATTAAAAATATAGTCATCAGAATTAATTATTATTAATTAATTATTAACTTCTCTGATGTTGCATTATTTTCATTGCGTAATTCACCATTAGTTACTCACGTACATCGTTGTTTAAATTAATGGTTATAATTCAATGGCATGACGCCATACATATTCAATAATAATAATGCAACATTAGAGAAATTGATAATTAATTTACTTGTAAAAGACTGTAAGCAATTTACGATGGACTCAATCGACAATCATTGTGAACGATAATATTTAATCATCAATCAATATATGGGTATATTACAATTTATTAAACCGTTGTTTTGATTAACTTTTGTCCAGTACTGTCGTGTGCTCATGATAATCTACATGTAGAATACCTGTGTTATTTGATACGTAGGTTAGTATTAATTCCAGCATGTTATGCATTACTTTGCAGGATATCGCTGGCTGTGCCAGCATAGAGGAGCTGACCGACATTCTATGCTTACAAAAACTTTGTTGCGGTAGAGCATGGCACATACAGGGATCATCTTTAGTTACAAACGCTGGTGATTCTACTCAAGGTCTCGATTGGTTGTGGCAACAACTGGGTGCTCATGAAACCTTGCATACAATACCTACGGTATCGTAAATGCGTAATCATTCTAGCACTTTCGGTGCTAAGACCTGAATGTGTAACAAAAGTACCGGGTGCGAGAATCTAATAATCCTGTTTATGTATGTTTGCTGAAAGCTCATCGGTGTTAATTTAACGCGCCGCACTCATCAACTGAAGAACTTATGAGAGTCTACAGCCTCGAAAGAGCTAGAGAATAATCGAGATCGTGATTTTACTGATCTCAATATACTTCGTAATTTGTGAATTGCACATTCCGCAATATTTTCGTCGATTAATCAAGGTTGTGATATAAAAGTGATCGAGACATCCGTAACGTAGTGCGTTTGATATGACGTAACAATTGTTAACAGTAATAATCGCGTTAATTAGAAAGCAACATCGAAGAAGAAACGAAGCAGGCGAAAATAAACGGCCCGAGCACGTCTAGAAAAGTCTTATTTATTTTTTTTACATTGGTTATTGGTTACCTTCGATACATGAATCATACCAATTTATTTATTTGTTTACTCATTCAGTCATGTTGTAGCATACATTCCAATCACTCTTACTTCTTTTTTTTTATCCTTCAATTGGAGCGAGCTTTTTTTTTAATACGCGTACACTGTACGGAAATTGAAATAATATATAATATATATATATTTATATATAATATAGCATCGTTTAAATTACATCTCAATTACTTTTTAATTGTATATAAAAACACTTGACAAACAAAAACGGAACAACTTAGAGTCTTTTGTGGAGCTGTGCCATGGTAGGGACACGGGGCAAGGTGACTCTATTTATATAATACATATATATTATATATGTATGTATGTATGTATATATATAGTACGCATTTAGAATGCAACATACCTTCGGCAGTACAACGAGCACTTTGATTCGTCTAACACTCGATTAATCGGTGATGTTTCTTATTGATAAAATTTCGTGGAACACGGAACGAAAAATCGAAGACTAGGATACAAAGTTTAGGCTGCGAAGACGAGGCCATGTTTCGATTAAAGAAAAAAACAGAACCATGGGGATTCACCGTTTAAAAATTTCCCACCAACCGGAATTCAATAGTACAATGCTTTCGGTCATTTTACGGCAATGTTTTTTCTCTTTATTTTTACTGTGATTTTTTGTTTTTGAAAAGTAGTGCGTGTCGCGGCCACACAGCTCCTGGAATACAGTCTGTTTGTGTCAAACAGGACACATTTATTTACAATTCGTCATGCTCCTGAAAATAAAACGGAAACAATGGTTTAACTACTACTATCGTAGTTGCAATAAAATATTTGCAATTTTTTGATTTTAATTTGAATTCCAAGTACGATCATCGTTAAAAAATATTCTGACAATATGTAATTTTAAATAAGATATTTAGAACATTCCAGTAAATAAATATCAGTGTTAAGTGGAAATTCCGTAAGAAAGGTGACTAATTAGGTAATTCTTGAAGTTTAAACAAAATAAGTAAAAAAAATATAAATATGTACTTTCGTGGACGTACACATATAGTAACTTTAGAATGTTTTGCCCGAATACATTTAATGTATTGTAATCAATATTTGTAGGCATTCGAAACTGTAATACATCTGTTATCAAAGGCAGATCTATTTATACTGTTCACACGATTGGCGCCACTTTACAGATGGAAAAGAAGTACAATAAATGATTAAAGTATATAAGGCGTAGTTATCGCACTTACCAAAATAAAAAAATGTAATTTAGTAAAATGGTGGGATTAAAGAAAAAATTTCGATGTTTTAATTTTTTTGAATTTTGAGATGACTATACCAAAAATAGAAAACAGAAATCTACTTTGATCAAACAAAATTTCAAATGGATCTGCTGATCAGTAATGCTAAAAAATTATATCCACTTTTTTGTTTGCGTGCCATTCCCTTCAAAATTATGAATGTATTTTTTTACAGTTTATTTTAGCTTCAGTAATTAAAAAAAAAATTTCCTGCCGGAAATTCCTTCTTAAAATATCTCTAATACTAACCTCAGTTTCTGGAACACTGTTATCTTCTTCATCTGCGTCTTCATCTTCATCATCACCCTTCTTATCGTCGTTCTCCTTCTTTCGCTGTTGTCTTTCCTCCTCATCCTGAGCCTCTTTCATTTTCTTTTCACCTTCCTGAAACGTACAAATTTTTTGATCTACCTAACAGTTAGCGACACAAATTTGATAATTTATATTGTTTGGTCAGCAACGAGGAATTCCAGCTTTTGTATCGCTCATCAATGTCAGCAACGCTTTTTACATCATTTACTAAGATTTAATTTTTTTTCATTTACTACGATTAACAATAAGTATATTTGTATACTTACAAGAGTAGGTTTCCAGACTTCCTCACCGAATTTGCGAGCGTCTTCCGGATCATCAGTAATGAGAACATTATCAAAGATCGTTCCGGACTTCACTTGCCATAGATCGAAACCAACTGCACAAATTTCGTTCCTCATATATAGTTCAGGATCAGGAGTATATTCGGGATTATCAATTTCTGGGTGAACCCAGGGTCCCTTATAGTTGGGATTATCAATTTGTTTTGGTTTCCATTCACCCTAAAGAAGAAATTAGGTCGAATTAGCGATAAAAGAATATCAATGATTACTTAATTTTATGAAATTTACCTTATATTCAGGATTGTCGACCATAGGAGCTTCCCATTCTCCATCCATTTCATCATCCCAATCGTCGGGTTTAGATGCCTCCGGATCAGGAATGTGTTCCGGTTTGTCCCAGTCTTCTGGTTTCTGGTCATCTGGATCGGGGATGGTGGGTTTATCATCCCAATCATCGGGTTTGCTCTGAGATGGATCTTTAATTTTCTTCGGTGGCAAGAAGTCCCAATCCGTTTCCAGTTCACCAGATTCAATCTCTTCATTGTCAATAAGAACCTGAAAGAATATTTAAAATTTAATCAGAATGTAATTATAAAAGAGAAACTTTTTAACCATTTTCATAATTATAACGAATTGTTGTTCTTTGCTTATTCTGTAGAAAAGCAAAATATAGCTTATATACATTTAATAAACAAGATAATCTTCGCTCTCCGAGATCCTTCAGCACTTATTCTCCACAATAAATCAATGAGAATATGTGACTCTGGGCTCGACACATTTATGCATTATGATATTTTTACTTTCCTACCTTGTACGTGTTGTCAGGATTAACAATTAATGTGTACAGATGCGTGTAAATATCATCTTTGCAACGGATGTCTTTATTAATCAAAAGATTCTTTCCCTTATAACTGAAGATAACATGAACTTTCTTTGTTCCAGGTCCACAAATATCAGGTCCTATAACAGGATATACGCATTTAAGCATAAAAATTGTACAGATCACACTTGTTGAACGTATGTCAAAGAAAATATAAAACTTTACATTTCGTTCAATAGAACGTTTATAATTCACGGGATTAATACTTTCATTTTTTCGCTGCATAGACATGTTCAATAAGTAAGGAAATAATTCATGTATCTCAACTGGTGCCTGAATATGTATGAGAACTATATTCAGGGCATAAGTTAGAATTTACTTTCCGAGTTACATTAGCACCAATTCACCACTGGGTGTAACCGGTGACTCTAGACTCGGCTTTTTAAAAAATATAAAATTTAATATCTGGCATTCATTAAAGAGTACGATTCTTTAATGGACAAAAATTTCTTACCAAACATGATTTGGTACGGGCTATCTCCGTGCATGTCTTTTTGATCCAATGAACAGTCAAATACTTTTAAGTATCCACCGCCGCAATCGATGTATTGCTCATGCTTGACAGAAAATTGAACAACAAGTGGTTTATCCTTATTGCTGAAGGGTTTGAATTTCTTGCTTAATGCGTAGAATCGTGCATCCTGAGAGGTCTGGATACCTTTTGAAAAATAAGATTTTTAAATAATAAAATCGAACATTAAAAAATTGTATATTTCAGGAATTGAAATACGAGACGAGTTTTTTCCACTTACCTTTATCGTTTTCTGGATCATTCCAAAACTTTCCATGGCTCAATACAAACTTTCCAAACTCATTTCCAGGGTGTTCAGAGTATACCCAGTTGTTTTCCCAGGAATCTGCAAAGAAACGTTATTAATGAAAATATAACAATTATATAGAGAGTAATATTTAAATTGAAATTATTATACATAGCAATTAATTAAACAAAATTGTATTTATGTTACAACCATGCAAATATGTAAGTACTTAATTGTTATAGTATTCGCTGGTTCATTTAATTTATTTAATAACATGTTTGGAGTATAATTAAGAATGTATTAATAATAACAAATGAACAAATTTGAAATATTTATTATTTTAACTTAAAATAATACTAACAATGTAAGGACTGAAAATATAACACCTCAAAAATCATTAACACATTTATATTTATTTTTGTTTTAACATGAACTTTTAAAATTTTTGAACATATTGCAATCTCAAAAAATTTGTAATATTTAAACATTTTTAGGTAATTTCGTGCCACATATTTGTACAAATAAATAATTCCCTTAGCTGCATCAATATCTATCATTCATCTGTTTAACACATTGACTGCCACTCTAAAATTATAAATAATGCTATTTTAATTAGAAATGTAAAATTACAGATACATCATTGAATTATTAAATACTTCTGTTTCATGTTATAATTTGAATGAATGTTGAGGACATCTTTAGACATGGAAAACTGATATAGCAGTTAACATGTTAAATTTAGGATTGTTTAATTTTTTGTATAGTTTTACCATCATTGGTTATATTTGCATTTACATTGTAATTAAACAGTAGTGCAGCCACTACTGAAAAGAAATTACTAAAGTATTAAGTTTGTAATATTTTTTTAAATGTCTGTACTTAAATTTAACAAAAAAAAATGTTGTGATAAGGACATATTTAAAGAATTGTTTATAATTTAAATGAGTTAAAAATAATAAAATATAATAAATTTCATTTGATTTTTCTATTTACAATGAGAGGATTTTAGCTAAGAATCAAATAATAGAATTTTTAATGTCATTCCATTAAAAAAAATTAATTTATTGTTAGATAATAAATAAATCATAAGAGCCTCGCGAATTCGTTAATTTTATTAGCATTTATTTTTGTGTATTACATTCATAAACAATGAATAAAATTTATAAAATATAATGCCAATAGAATAAAAAAAAGAATTTTAAATATATAAATACAATATTTCTAGAAAACAATTTGAAAAGAAATGTAAGATGTAATTGAGCTTTACACTAGTAGAGTCTGGACTGACGATATACCGAAATATCGAATGACAAAACACAACGAAAATTGAGACGATTACAATGTACGGAACGCATCATCCTGACACGTTTTTTTCCAAACACAAGGGGAAGTTTACTTCGAAACAGAGAGCGCTCAACGCGGATCAACCGATCGATTGCGCGTCATGTCGGCGAATCGCACACGGTACGCTTGTACCTTTGCCACGAGATGTTTCTCCCTTGCCACGTCTGTGGGAATTTCCACTTTCCAGGCTCGCATATGGCAGCGTAAACAATTCGATGAACAACGGATCGCATTATCGTGTCAAAATTACACGCAGATTTTCATGCGTGCATAAACTGTTAATTGCAGATATCGCGAGTAAGGGCGTGTGGGTTACCAAGGAGAAATATACAATGTACGCGTCGTTTTTCCGAGCTCGGCATTAGATGAAAATTTTCAGACGTACACCGAAACGAACGACTTTTTCAGACAAAACTTTGCGAATACGAAACGTGGGTGTGGTTGTGCGGAGAAAACTATGCGGGATCTGCTGATTTTTCTAGACTTTATCGGCTCGGATATGGAGAGCTGATGGACGAAGGAGGGATTGAGAAGGAAAACGAGACGTGGGCGAAAATAGCTTTCGAGGAGCGTTTACTCACCGTCGAGAAATTTCTCCTCAAAGTAGACTTCCGCAGTAACGAGCGTAACCGCCAGTAGAAGTAAAAACGAGCAGAAGGACCGCATTTTTAGACGCCGGGACGACGAGAGTCCTCACGACGAAGACGTTAACACTGCGACGAACTAGCCGATAATGCATGAATCGCAGACGTGGTTGGCGAGTTAGCAGCCGCCGGGGCAGACAGATGGAGGACGTTGATTGGCTGATGCTCGTCGCCCAATCAACGCCGACCACGCTTGACCAACCAGTCGCCGCGCCGTGGCAGGTTATAGTCATGCCGCGCGCACATAACCTCACGTCAGCAATTACCTTATTTTATCTATTGTCGATACGGCAGGAGATAGGCGCAGCGGTTTAGTAGAACGTTTTTATTAGTTACTAGTTCGACAGCCATTGTTAAGAGCGATATTTAAATATAGTTTAATTTGATGGATGGATTGCCCGAACATTTGTTTTAAATGTTTTATCTTTTAAACGTTTGTATAATGGTACTGTTTTGAAGCATGTGGTACGAGCCAAAAATGTAAAATCCAATTTTTTAGTATGACATTTTCGAGAAAATCGATTAAATGAACTTTTTTGAAATGTATTTGGGAATTATACCATATAATATATAGCACCTTGTCACATGAACATAAGTTACATGTATACTCTTATGTAAAATGAAGACCAATTAAAATATATCCATTGTATTATAACGGATTTAAAAAAATTATTCTTGGTTTGATAAATTAATTAAAAGAATTATGTTTAACGGACAGTGGTCATGAAACGATTGACAATATGTATTTTTAATCTTCTGTTTCAGGTTTAATATTAATATTCTATTTATTTGCCATTTTTACCGTTTTAATTGGTATGAACACTTAAGTATGCAAGTGGCGAATAAACGCGTTTTTTTTTTATTTGAACGAGCATCGTAGCGCCAGAAGCTTCGTGTCCTTCGTACGCACACTTGTGTAATCATGTTTGATACTAAGTATTCGATAAAAGTGAAATAATTAGCGTATAATTTTAACCAAAACCGAACACTTCCTTTCACATTTACAACATTCTTCTACAAATCTTTGTCACTAGTACCATCCTCGTACGTTAAAAATTTTGTCGTTTGCAGAACTTGCAATAACAGTAATCTTTTATGAAAAACAGTGAAAATAATTTTTCTCGATGTACAGCAAACGACTAAATCAGTTTCCACCGAGTATTTTAATATGCTTAAAAGTTATGTGATTCGTATCAAACACTCGATAATAAGTATCAAACTCGTATGGTACGTCTGAAAAAGGCGTATCGAATTAAAATAATACGTTTATTAAACGCTCTTGCAGTGCTGTAAATACTGTAAATTTACATATCTCTTTATCAGTTTGAATAATCGACGTCCTGCTGTAGAGGTATACATATATTGTATACATAAGAGGAGACGCATGCATCTTTTTTTAACTCTGCATCGATGAGCAATCAATACCAATAATGTACAAGGAAAAAACATTGCCATTTTTACTTCTACATATAATAACGTACTACACGCTACATAAATAAATACGTGAAATTATTTTTGCGTATCAGTTCTCCGTATCTTTCACACAATGTCAAGCTCATGCTGCATTATTTACGTGTGTATTTTATCAGTGTCTTAACTCTTAATTGTACTTTTTATAAATGTTATTATAAATGTAACGTTAAACGTTACCATCGTTCGGTGTGAATGCAGGCGAAACAAACGATCGATGCGCGTATCAAAAAACCGCGAACGGTGTTGAGTTAACTCTACATATACGTCGATAAATCAAACATACTCGTCTAAACTAGGAACTGAATTTTTTTCATCCTCGCTTCGTATCTTATCTACGCGTGTCTCCGTAAAATGGTATTAGCAGAAATCCAGTTTTCTAACCGCTTCTTAATTCCGGCAGCCGTTGCCGGTAAGTGAAATACATAGCGTTTAAACGCGTTCCACTACCAACGTATCGGATTTCAAACCGTCTTGTGTACGAATTGTTCCCCTTAGCAACGGCTTCCAACAACCGCACTTCGGTCGAGCGCAACGTGCATGAAAATCTACAAGTGAAGCCAGTGAAAGCTGTCAACGCTGAAGGAGTTCTCCTTCAAAGAACAACTTAACAAAAAAGAAATATATATATAAATAAAAAAAAAAAAAAGAGTAAAATGTTACGTTCGAAGGCGACAGCCGCGTTGCTGCGGTTGAAGGAGATGGACAGGAAGTACAATATTAAGTGTATCGAGGGCAAACGGGGCCAGAGTAACGTAAGCACCGAAAGTTCTATCGACGACACACCGAGGAACCTTCGATCCGGCTTCAAAGCCTCCGGCAACGACGAACCTGACGCTGTTCGAAGTTTTACCGCCACCGACGCGGGAGATGAGACCAGGTCAAAGGTAGCGATGGATTTAAGATGTAGTCTGAAAAAAGTAGTCTGTATTAATCTTCCGTTACTAACGTGTTTCTAAGACATTGTTATTAACATCAGCTTTTGAGGCCTATACTTTCGGAAATAGAGTTTGGTTTCAACAGTATAATTTATTTAACTCTATCATAAGTTTTCAATAAAATATTTTTGTTTCTAACATTAGAAATGGTTTTTTGCATTTTTCATCAATTTTAGGAATATAGTTGCGTCGGTCTCTGAGACTGGGCGTTAATAACGGAGGGTTAAATGATAATAATATGTATAGCGAGTCACAAAATTACCGTCACACCAGAAAGTGTTAGGCATAGGAAGAGTAAAAGAAATAATTGAAAATCTTTTCCTCTTTCAATAGTATTACAATATTACGAAAAAATAATAATATTATCGTTTATAATTATACAAAAATGAAGAGATGCGATACGAATTTGTCTACCTATTAGTTTGGATAGTTGATGTTCTACTGTAATAAGATATTCATCGTTCGATGAAATATTTTCTAAAATAGATTTTACCCCTTCTTGCTCCCAACAGGCTTCCTCCAAATCCAAGATACAAGTGAAGATCCCGAGTCTTATTGGAAAAGGCGACGATATCCTTAGCAGCAAAAATGTATCCACATCGAAGAAGTCGTCCGAGGATTCTTTTGAAATAAGTATCAAAACATCGGTCGCAGATGAGAGCAGGGACGTCCAATCGAATGGAGAAGACGTCTCGATGACGAAGGAGTCTCCCAAAGCACTTTCAAGTTTGGAGTCCACCCTGAAAGAAGATAGTATCAATGTCAAAGCCAAAGTCGAAGTTGAGGCATCAGAGTCTGTGGATCGTCTCAAAAACAGCGATGAGTCCTCGGTTGCCACGATTCTTTCCGAGGCGTCGGGAGGTTCTAAAATCATTTTTGGGACGATCAGGTCGGTGGACGCCGAGTCATCGACGAGAAGCAACAGGAAATCGAACGTGTCGGAAGAAATGGCGTCGAGGAGCAACGACCAGGAGTCGAATGCTGCGAATGACGAGGCGACGATAGACGAGGTCATCGGGATCAGCGGTGAAAGGAGCGAAATCATCTCGGAACTGTCCCATGCGACAGACAAGGACGATAATCGGTCGAAAGATTCTTCCAGAGTGGAACAGAAGGAGTACGAGAGCGACACTTTCGAGGAGGCTGGCAGTTCCACCGCCTCGACGAGTTCTGCGGAAGACCGGCTGGAGGAAACGTTGACCAAAGAAACATTTCATAATACAATCAGATCTGGTGTGAAACAGATCATGATCACGCCCCACAAGCAAGTCGAGGGTGTACAGAAAATCGTAACCGACGATAGGTAATTGAAATTGTAATTTTGATGATTGGAAAGTTGAGGATAATCGATCAGGTAGGAGGTTATTGGTTTTCATCGAAGATCGGTTAGCTTCTTTTTTTTTAAATGCCAATATGCATACAATATGTTGTACAACAAAATGGATATCCCACAAAATAAATACTTGATATAAATATACATATAATGTCAAAACTATGGTGTCGGAATATTTTCGTATAAAGTTATGTTAGAAATTTAAACACCGGTAGAACATACAATTTTAGATTTCATTCCAAAGATAAAGCCTTGTAATTTTACTCCCTAACATGACAATATTAATTGGATTGTGCTTCGTAGTCCTCGAGACGATCTTTCCAGAGACAAAGAGATCATTGAACTTGTCGCGCCGAAAATAATGCAGAACACGAGTGAGTGTGATATCGGGCTCGACGAAGAACTATCCAACTACGTGAAGACGATGGAAAATGTCGACGAGATATTGCCGATCAGCCTCTTGAAGATATCTAAGCAAACAACGTCAGCTAGGAAACAGGTTCGAAGGAATAAGAGGCACCGAAAGTCGTCCAACGAAAACACCAGCGAGTCGCTGGAGAAGACCGAATCCCCGGAGTCTTCTGTTCTCGAGAAATTAACGATACGGAAGGAAAACAAAAATGAGGACTACGAGCCAAGAGAAAATAGCTCAGCGACTATCATGTAAGAAAAATACACCGCGACGGTTCTATTAACACTATATCTACCGCGGTTTTATATATACCTATTTCGACCAAAAGGTGTCTTTTAATTTTAAAACGCTTTAAAATGTTGCATTAACTGTCATTATTATACAATAATATCACATCTTATCTTAAAATGTTATAACGTTTTCAGCAAAGACATGGGACAAAAGAACGAAAAGGAAATTAAAACAAAAGAGACCTCTTTACTGGACGAACGAAGTAAACTCGAGACCGTCGATGCAGAAAAGAAGACATCAGAGAATGATACATGTACCGTGGAATCAAAAACTGTCTCTAGCGGGGTACTTCTGAAAGAGACTCCGAAAACGTCGGACGTTACGTGCACGCTGAGAGAGTTGAACAGAGACGCAATCGACGCCATTGCTAGGCGACATAGAATCATCCGCGTACCGAAAAACACGTTTAATAAATCTAGATACTCGCGGAAATTAGGAACTATAGTGAAGCTACCATCCACCGAGTACGAAACACCCGGGAAATACGAGTCGGACGAGAGCAGAACAGGGTCTTTGGAAAATGTAAGAACGATGAACGTTAATCCTCTATAATCCATTGAGACTTTAAAATAATATATCAAATAGAAACTCGCGTTGCTTGCGCTAATATATTAGCTAGATTCTATATAAAAAATATAGACTAACTATTTCGCTCTTTAAAAAGATCAAACAAACTGTTACGAATATTTTCTCAAAATAATCATAATATTCCTTTTTATATCGTACAACATTTTCAGTTGAAGGAATCCAGTCAAGATCAGAGAACCAAAAAAAGAAACAAGTCTAAAAGGATCTCCAAAGCGTCGAAAATCAGAAAGCCGCCTAGTTGCGGAAAAGTGGAAGAAAAACAATCGCGTTTTGATTGCAAACAGTCGCGTCGTTTGCGAAAGCAAGCTGCCGCCTTAAGGTTGCACCAGGAACGTCAGGACATTCGTAATTACTTGCTGGAATTGGAATGCACGCGATTAGAGTTCGGTCCCGGTAACACGTTCGCCTCTTCCAAGCTGCCTCCTTTCAAACCCCTTGAATTTCCAAAAATCGCAACGTTCGAGAAACCTGGTATGTTGTCCACTTCGCGACAATACGGCAGGACATCCCTGGAATAATATACATAAAGCCACTCAAACAATTAATTGCACGTATCCAAATTTTAAACAAAGTTATATCTGTATAGGATGAAAGTTTGCAAATACCTTATACGACTTTATAAATATTTTAATTCATGCGACGCCATTGTTATACTCTCGCGTATGTATTTAATGGCAACGAAGATATTCAAGGTGTTCGTAATAAATGGGAGACCCTGTATATCTTTTTATGACTAATAATGGCATCATTAAGATTGAGTATACCTACTTACAAGTTTAATACAACCGAGATTTATCCAAATGGGATTCTGCGGTTGCGTCATAATCGATAAATTATTGATCGCGTATATCGATGAAGTACAGCAGAATTTTTACCATAACTAATGAGTCACTAACATCCAGTGCAATCATTTATACATTGATCGCAAATTTTACGTGCTAAGTATCCCGCGCCTATTGTTCTGACTTCACGCTTGAATGTAATTGTTCCACTTTCTTTGCGGACAGAACCAGCAGACGTGAACGTAAACTCCAAACATGAAGTTGCTGGACTGCAAGAGAGAATATCGACGATAAAACAGTGGCTGAAAGATCAATACGTCCTTTATAGGGACTACAGCAGTCTGGCGCAAACAATGAATGCAAAATATATTCCAGCCAGTTTGGAGGATGCAAAAAGGGTATTGATTTTAATTATTAAAGCAGTGATTTCCAAACTTTTTGTAAAGCGTCTCCCTAAAAAAAAAGAAAATTTCTGTGTTTGAGATAAGTAGTAGGTTCAAAATGGAATAAGGAATATGTACTTCGACGGCAGAAGCTTTAAATGGACGAAAATTGTTCCAATGTAAATTCTCAATTAGTGGTTTTCTATAATTCGTGTAATAACGAAATAATTAAATATAAATATTATTTTGTACAATACTCCAACGTCACTATTAGTAAGAAAAACCACTTCGCGGTAACTATAAAGGCAATGGGAGGAATAGATTCACGACTTATAACGAGTCACGAAAAACGACTTATATCGAGACAATGCTGTACAAACGCGTACCGAACAATGGGAAGACAATGAGTTGTCGAATAAGGAAACGGACGGAGGTGGTATTCGCGTCTAAGAGTCCACCGGCGAGGAAGCTTTTCACTTGGCCGGCTTTTCGAAAGTTTTAACGAGACACTCCTGTTCGGTTTCAGACGATTCGCCAGCTACAGAAAGCGACGATTAAGACCAGGTGACCGTCCGCTTCTGCGAAGCTTTCAACGGAAAGAACGGAGCACGTGCAACACGATTCCTCTACGTAACAAAGTGAACGGACTAACTTGCAAAGCGATGTACTTCCTTAACGCGATTATATCCAAGCGTACGGACTCACTATTTTCGCTCTTGCATCGTGTGGTACTCATGGAACATAAACAATCGCGATGTTATCTTGATTTAACCAAATAAATTCCAAATGTACCAAGTACTCTCGTTTTATAGTATTAAAGAGGGGAAATTCTGAAATAAAAGTCGATTCTTTCCACCGTTTTCACTGTATCCGGGCGGATGACTGTTTTTGTCTCTGTATCGTATAAAATTCGTGAAATGCAAAAATCAATTGGAAAATTGTCTTAATTTGTACAAACAGTTCTGAAATGTACCAAATGATTTTATTTTGTAGTAATAAAGTGAAATAAAGAGTGGAACGTTCTGAATAAAAATAGATTCTATCCAGTGTCCTTCTTTTACCAGTACGTTCCGTTACTTTCAAAAAAGCATATTGAAAAGTGGCTGAAGTGGAAGCATGAAAATATCAGTCGTGATTGGAGTAATGTTGCATTTGGCGATGACTTTTCTTTTTGGGCTAGGTTTCCTATTAAATGTGCTTGATGTACGTATGAAAAAATCGTAATACGTATTATTTGCAAGAAGAAATAACGATTTACTAAAAAATTCTTAACATTGGTTCGATTGTGCTCCTTACTGTATATGCGATCCTTATGCATCGAATGCACGCGTGCGTGTTGCACGCGCACGTGCAGGAGATGCTCGAATGAGCGACGCCTCTCGCCGGCGTTCCTTCATTGACGTACTGCTGGTCGTGTTCCACAGTTCCGAACGAGCCTTTGCACGCTCGTCTTCGTAGAGTTTGTGTACGTGAACTATCGTCGTTCTTACGAAGTTTCGGAGGTTTTTATAGTGCCTGGACCATAAGCTTTTCAAGGAAGACTCTTTCATCCCTTCCAGGAGATTTGGAGCTTCGAGATCAGACACCATTTTTGGTAAGTCTGACAAATAGTGTCTTTACTCATTTAAGTAGTGCGACCTTACTTTCATTGGCGACGATTAAATCTCGTGCAGCAAACCGTCGATTTACTGAAAATTTCGACAGTAACATTTATATCGGATGAGATTTCAAGGTTTCATTTTTTCTTAATATCAAATTAATAATTTAATAATTCTTTCCATTTTTCTGTCGAAAGTCATCGTCTAGGGTGACTGTCCGAACGATCGAACGTTTAAGGAAAAGTAAAATGTTCTGTTGCTTGGAAATTAATTAGACTAACTGATTTTATCACTTAATTTTCTACTTTCATTTTTGCAATATTTCATTCTTATATTTCATCAATCAAAATATATAAATTCAATATCTTTCTATTTGAATAAAGTTATTTTAATTAGATGACAATAGGATGTCCCAATAATTGGACTCTAAAATTATTTATTTTAATGTTTTAGTCTAACAAATAAATAAAGGAGCTGATAACATTAAGAACTGTGTCATATGCAATCACTCTTCGCCTATAATCATGCGATTTGAATAGAGACACATTTACAAATATCGCCAAATACACCCTATTTTCTTAATGTCAAGCGAAAACTTTAGAAATTGTTTAATTCCTCGGTCAGTAACCGTATGTCGTTTTTGTTACTAATCTCTTCGACTTCTAATTTCATGTTAAAGGCCTCGTTTCAACAGAATCTGTTATCAAACTTTGTTTTTTATTTCTACTCGGTTTCTCGTTAATTTTATTAGTGAACATATATTTCTAAATACCTTATTAAAATACTATCGTTTAATAGGAAATTTTTTCGACCGTGTTGAATCGAAATTTAAAAATATACTTTATTGATAAAATTTTAGAGGAACTGAATAGAAAAGAAAAATAAGATAAGAACATTAACGAAAATTATATATTTCTTACTTTGTATAAAAATGCGAGTAATTTAATGACAGATCATAATTTTTATCTGTTTTTTACTCCTTCTAAGGTAATTTCCTTGAATATTATATCTTTTCAACTTGAAAGATTTATGCCAACAGGAGAAATTATCATCTTTTATATTGCATTCGGTTAGGTTGAAATTCAGTGATAGACTTCTCAGACAATTTAAAAAATAAAATTATATAAATCTCTAAGCGAAATAGGAAAATATGTTAAATTAAATGAGATTTTATCCATGTATCTACAGTTAAAATATAACTAGAACTATATCTTTCTTTTGGTTTCTCCTGTTTGTCTTTCATTCGTTATTCAAAATCTGTGTTCCCTCTTTGGCATATTTACCAACGAGTTTAATTTAAGCATACGATAAAAAGATGATTCGTATGCAAACATAGTGCTTTGACGTTTGTCAAACAACTTGTAATTATTTTCTGGGCATCATCGCGGTGATATTTGAGTAGATGACATCAGAAAGCGCCTGGAACGATCGGCGTACGATCCTTACATGATTAAATGTGCACATGCACCTTGTTACACCTGGAAGGCAAAACCGCATATACTGTGTCAAGGTTCATCGGATCAATTGAAATTGTGCAACCTTAGACTGGATCCTATAAGTCGCTGTCAGGCAATTAATTAACCGTCCCACTCGTTATTAAATTTCAAGTGTACTTAAAGCGGATATTGCACTTTTCGGTTTCTCTTTCACGAAAAAGGAAAGGAATACAGCGAGTTATAAAATTATTGGCACAGGTATACACATATTTTACTCTTGAATGACGGACTTCGACATAATAATGTTTTTCAAGCACTTTTCGTACTGTTATAGTCGAAACAATCTTTTCAAATAAATTTATCAACGCCGCACTAATTTTAAAAGCATCTACTTTCGAATTTTCTTTTACTTATCTTATTATTAAACGTTCTTTCGATGCGTTAAAAATTTCCTTTCTGTCACGGCATATTTATTTTCTACTTTTCCTTTATTTTGATACATTTTAATAATATTTTTTACAGTACTGGAATTTCTCCTTATTATTTTACCAATTTCTCTATTAGATTTTCATTTTTTTAATCGTTTTGTTTTTTTTTTTTTTTTTAAGAAAATTTATAAGGAAAAAAACGAAAGGAAGTAATAAATAAAATATACTCTCGCTTAAAATTAAAATTGTGAATTGTGAATTACACTTGGCAATTAACCTTTTTAGATGGGAAAATTAATTGCATGTATCAGTTACAATCGATTAATTGCAAATTGAGGTTGCAATTAACAACTAATTGACTTAGGTACTCTTATATAATCGTATATAAAACATCTATAATATTAAAAACAGTCATTAAGATATATCTTAGTGACTGCATCTTCTGGCAAAGATAAATCTGTATATTTATTTATATTTGATCTCTAAACTTCGTTCCTGTCCTGAGAATGGAGCGCAGAACTCCTCCCGCCAGTGTAAAATTTGAAATTTATTATTAGAAAAGTACATTTTATGTATGAGTTAAGTCGTAATCTGTAGAAACAAGCTGTCGGTCTTTTCGTAAATAGGTTTTTGTTTCTCGTGTTCGTGTGAAAGTGTCTGAGCATGACGAAGTGAGTTCTCTGTTTCACTTAACCCAGAGTTGGATCAGTGATGCACGTTCGTTTTTATATCATTCATCCATCGCCAAGAGAGAATTAATTGGTTCGTGCAATTAAAATATAACATTTACTAATTAACAATCAACCATTCGATTGCAATCGGCATTGCAGGTCGTGTTAAATACATATTGCTAAAAACACTTCTGCCTATAAACATTTTTAAACGTCCACTTATATAAATGCATAATTTCTATGTTTAAATAATTAAAATATTAATGAATAAAACAGAAACAAATAAATGTCTTCTGTATCCACCCCTGGCTGTAAAAAACAAAAAGTATTCAATAACAGCTGACAGAAACAAATCACGATCCTCAACACGACCTTCAGTCCTCACCGAGAACATAAGATCGCTGACTTTGTGATGAAACGTTTCTCACGAATTTCTCGTGTCGATCACGTCGAATAAAGGAAAAGAGGCCTGGCTAACGAGAACTGTTGTACGTTTAGAAAATCGAGCGCGCTTAGAACGGCGAAAGTAATCGAGAACTCTCTCAGGATACAAGACAGGGAAATAAATAGATGGATAAACAGATAGTTAAACGGAAGGATAGAGAAAGAGGGACCTTACCCTTGAGGAAATCGAGGCCGAGACCTGGAGGTGACGTCTCCCGATGTCGATTCCTCGAGGTCGTCGTTGACGCAAGGAAAAAACATCGTCGTGTCCGAATGATTTTCTAATATCCGTTTCTGTCGACCCTAATGCGCCTTTGTCGATGATCTGGTGCCGTCGTCGGTGTCGCTCGTGTGAACTAGAACAGGAATTCCGTGAACCGCGTGAAAAGGTGGGGGGTGGAGAGCCACGACCCTAATGACGCTGGGCCGACAAAGCAAGAAACTTCCTCCCGCGCGGAATTTATGGTGATGATAATTAATAGGGGGAACTATATCGTGAGATGCCTGAACCGTGGCTAATCTTCGCGGTTTTCAAATTAATGAGAGACCGTCTGCGTGTACGGTTCTTTGTTTTGCACTTGCGCTGCCGTTTGATTGGCGATAGAAGCTCCTCCGAACCGAAAGAACGTTGAACCTGAACGAGTTTTGAAGGAAACGACGTTTAGAACCTGGAAAAAAATGATATTAAAAATATGACAACTACCAAATAATTTGCCAAATGAACATTTAGATATACCGTATAAAAACTTTTTTCACGTCTAGGCCATGAACTTTTTCTTCACCCCCATGCGCTTTTTTAGATCCATCACTGAATGTTTAACTAAAATTAACGTTTTCTACCTCGTCGATGAATGGTACATTTATCACAGCCGTTACATTTTCACGGTGCCACGTGTGAATTGCTCGATATACAGATGGTACGTCTCTCTTACCATGAAATTCAACCGAGCGTGAACTCTGACCTGGAAGAGTGCACACGCTTCGTCGATTTTAACTTGGCCCATTGTTGCTGGTTAATTTACTCGAAAGAAGTCTGAAATCGAGAGACGTTCCGTTTCGGATAATTCGGTA